GCTGCTCTTTGTGTTCCTGACTTCAGTACTTGTCCCAAATTGAAACAAAAGTTTTAAAACACCATAAAAGGTCTCTATAGATGCCGATAAAAACAAAACAGGTACCAGGAAATCGGCAGCAGAAGCTACTGGCGTGCACTGGCTTCCAGTTGACCTTGCTCTATAATATTTATTGTCCAACAGGTGTAACAAGAACTGCCCCGTCCCACTTCTCACACCAGCACTCAGGGATGCTCCCAAACACACTCACACAGGGATGGTGTCTCAGCAGGATGCCTTCAGGACAATTCCAAATGCTCCAAGTGCCAGCACACAGAGGAAAGGGCAGGAGTTCAGTGATGGGGGCACGTCTCACCACATCTCCATGGAAATCTATTTTGGCATTGGCAAAGAGGTTATGATTTTGAGGCTGTGCAGAGTCTCACAAGGCCTGCAATGTTTTAGAGATGTCAGAAGGTTGAACAGCACAAGTGAGAAGATGCAAATGCTGTAGGGTTATTTCTGACCATAATCCATTTACAATTTACAGCCATTTACAAGTGCATGGAAAATAACGTGAACTTAACCTTGCATTTACATTCTCCTTTAGCTACATTATGCTCATCTCGAAAAAGATGAAAATATGATTACTGGTCCATTACTGAGTTAGAAAAGCCTTGGGGAACAGTATAGAACACAAACAGCCATCTGTAATCTGTTCACGCAGATGCGTGAAAATCAAAGACCAAACTCGCTGAGGTAACAAAAACGTCCTAATTTAATTTCTAACAGAGCAGCACAATCCCTGCTTAACAACACTAAGTTTGTCTAAGAATACGAGCTTAAATATCCTCTTTGTTCAGGTAGCTCCCACATGCTCCCTGTGATCCAGGCAGGCAGACAGTAAGCGAGCAAAATATTAAGAGTTGCAAGTTTCAGCTGGCCAGGAACGAGTCATGCCAGACAGTGACAGATCTGTTGGGATGGGAACATCTGCTGCTACTGCTGAGGATACCAGGAATACTTGGACCAAGTCTATCCTATAAAAGGTTGGCGGATATATGCTACAACTTAGGCCAAACTTACCAGTGCAAGCATGGTTTGTTCTGGTAAAAGCCCTCTTACGCCACTGTAATTTACACCGGGCTCTCAAACTACATAAATTAAGCCAAGGCAATAGAACTGGATCTACATTAGGGCAAGTGCCAGGACAAAGAGTGCTACAAAAGAAGTGCAGGCTTCTGGCTGACTTGTTCCAGAAGAGAAAACTGAGAGCTGACCTGGCTCCAATTTAACTTCTCTGGGATGCACATCACTTTGAGCCAAACCACGCTTTGTCCTATGGCACTTTCCTCCTGAGGAACCCTGCTTTTCTCAGGCTCAGGAATAGACCACAAGATGTTAGAGATATGCAGGAAGACTTCTGTGTTTTGCAAATGACAGGATTTGCTCCAGGGGCACAAAGAGGGATTAGATAAACCTGTATGTGTAAGGCAGTTCTGTAGGAATTCACACAACCACTCCAGACTTCACTGCCCTTGGAGGGCTATGAGCCACTTGGCATTAGGCAGCTGAGGCAAGACCTCAAGAATCAAACCACCACAAAAATTAAAAGTCTTACTGGTCCCACAGACTGAACATTTAAAAATTAAACAGGCATTTATTATTTTTCTGTACTTGCAGAAGCCACCCTAAGGACCAGACAGGCAGATGGGACTCACGGCACCAGCAACATTCCATGTGTTTCTGTGGCCCCTTCCCACTGAAGCTGCCATCTTTGAGCTGCATGGATAATCCAGTTGCCAAATAACTAGAGGGAAAACACATCACTGTAATTTACAAGTGTCCTACTCATAACCAGTCAGCCAAACAGCTTCCATGCAAAACCAAAAAACAGGTAACGCTCCTCTCTCTGTGGCTGCACAAATCCTTCAGCATGCACAGAGTCTGCTCACACCCAACCACCCCCTCACAAGGTCCTACTTATTTTCCTACTCACACCCTAAACTAAGCACTCATGCAAACCTTACAGTTTCTGAACTCGCCCACCAACTTGCCCACAGCCACAGCACATAATGACACAGCCAGACACTGAAAACACAAAACATCAACTCATACTTCCCACTGCTTCACTTACAAGTTTCATATAACCACTCACTTTTCTTCCAATTTTTACCTCTGAAATTAGTTAATGGATTTTTCTGAGCTTTGTATTGGAATTTTTCAAATGAGAGCAACCTGAATCAATTGGCATTTGGAGTCTGTAACAGCCTGTGGTACCAGAGCACACTTTGGAATCTGCTACCCTTGAAATACAAGGGCAGGAAATTCTTGAGTCTCCTGCAATAACTCTTTATATAGAAACCTAAACAGATTTTCTTTGTAAAACCAACACTCAAAATAAATGGGACTTGTATAGACTAGGTACAAGGTGGAGATTAATTTTATCTCCAAAAAGAGCCACTGAAACATTACCCTTGGCTGGAAACACAATGCTCCAACATTGGCAACCTACCTGACCAATTCTACCCAATGTGAAGAGCAGCTGGACTAAGAGAGAGATCCTGGAGTGATAAAAAGAAGAGAGACAGGCAGCAGGTAAAAACTAGGCTCTGCAAAGGTAGGTAATACAAATGTGTTTCTTAATGTGCCCTACAAGAACTAGGTCCGTGTATTTTTGGTTCTTTACATCTTGAAAGCCCGAGGAGAAGACATGAGTTAGCCTTAAAAAAAAAAAACAAAAAACACAAACCACCCCACACTTAATCATATTTATATATTAATGCATGTAACCTACTTTCACACATAGTTAATGAGTTCCTTCATGGGATTTGAACCTGAAGAATTCTGAGTTTAAAAAAACCACAGCTCTAATGACTACAAGTTTTGTTGCTAATGTAGTTGTGTCTGGCGCTCTTATTCCTCGCACACAGTTAACTCGTGTTTCCCCAGTACATTTTACAGAGATCAACAAAATGCAATACTTAAAGACAAAATTCTGTGAGGAGCTACTTCCCCATAGAACAATTTACAAAAACTTTTCATTAAGCATTTTTTTCACAGTTAAAAAAAAAAAAAAAGCACATTTCCTGTAAATTCATCCTGCTGTAACAGTGGAACAGCAGATTTCCCAAGGACACGACCTCTTACCACCTACAGCAGCTCTTCTGAAACTTAATGTCAGGCATATGGTCATCTAAAACATGATGGCCAACGACCTAAAAAGCACTCAGGCCTTTTGAAGAGTATTCAATCAAGGTTCATTTCAATTTCACATCTTTGATTTCCCTTCCACTACAGTCTTCCAAACCTGCTTCTCAAAACAAGCACTGACAAAAAATTATTGTTAGCACACAGGCTCCGCTATTTCTTTTTTTTGCAAATTCTTGCTGATCTTCCTTCTCTGTGAATTTTATTTCATTTTATATCTCAGCTCTGCCAGCTCAGCTGATGCAGAGAACTGTCCACAGTCTGTCCACAGTCAGCACCATTTAGAAGTTATTTACCAGCTTCCTATTCTATTTACTTTTAGTTTATTTTTGTATTTGTGAACGTTGAAGTTGTACTACGATGGTCACCCAAAACACCATACTGCCTAAAAGCAGATCATAATATGACACTGCAGAAAGTTGCTTTTTTTTTTGGAGAGTAGCATAAAGAATCCCCATCCTCACCTAGGGCAAAAATGCAGATTTTATGACAACTTCACAGGAAGCAGCACCTGGAAGAAATGCCCAACCATTACAAATAGTCTGCTAAAGATTTATGATAATCCTGTGTTTAACTGGTACTGAAGGTCTGCTCCTACTTTACACATGAAGACAAAATTTATGTCTTTATTACCTGCAAATGAGAGGACTTAAAAACCCTTCAAAATTAACCACTCGTGCATTTTGTTTACCCTCTCTGACACGCAGATATGCATCATAAACATCTCGTGGCAGGTATATTCTCTTTACCTGATGTGACTGGACTTGTCAGCACTGAGCGTGACAGGGTTCAAACTGCTGTCAGTGGCTGCAGCAGGACTTCCCAGGATCTGGGTTTCCCTGGACACGCAGCCCAGGAGAAGCTCAGAAATCAGAAACCATGACTGTGCTAATGCAGCTCGTCCTCCCCAGCACTCGCTGTCAAGTGGCACAGTTCTGACAGCACATGCTGGTGACTCCCGCTGCCAAGAGCTGCCAGCGATCCTGGCACGGCCGGGCTTTGTCCCTCTCGCAATTTCCGAGGGATGTTCTTGGATGTTATAGGGGCACGAGCGATGGGGAGACAAACCCGGCTTTTTTTTTTTTTTTTTTTTTTTTTTTTTTTTTTTTTTTTTTTTTTTTTTTTTTTTTTTTAATTTAAAAACCGATGTACTTCAGGACACATAACCACCACCTAGCACCCTGTCTTGCTAAAAGGCGTTAAGGATAAAAAAAAATGATGCTAAAGTGCTGACTCGGCCCAGCTCCTCACGGCATCCCCTGGGATGCTGCCCCTCGGACACCTCCCCGACCATCCGCACAGCTCGTTCTTTATGGGTCGCTTGTTCACGCCAGGCACTTGGCAGCAATTCAGGTGCGGGGGGGGGATTTTTTTCCCCGGTGGGTGACAGAGCCTCTGGGACCTGGAAAAAGCAGCGCTTTGATGCCGAGAACACGGCGGCTCCTGCGGAGGAGCCCGGCGGCACCGGCCTGAGGGAGGGAAGGAGGGAAGGAGCCGGCCCCGCTGCTGCTCCCACAGAAACACAGGGCTGTTAGGGTTGGAAGGGACCTCTGGAGATCATCCCAGTCCAACCCCGCTGCCCAGGCAGGGTCACCTGGAGCAGGAACGCGTCCAGGAGGGTTTGAATGTCCCCACAGGGGGACACTCCACGCCCTCCCGGGGTGCTCGGGCCAACTCCGGGCCGAGGCGCCGCAGGGTCCGCAGAGCCCCCGCCGGCCTTCCCGGGCTGCTCCGTCCTGCCCAGCCTCCTTATGTAACCCCAGCTCTGCCCCGCTCCGAGCGGCCGCGGGCCCGGCCCGGCCCGGCCGTACCTGATGTAGGGGCTGGCGGCCGCCAGGATGTTCTTCTGCACCGGGATCTCCTCGCCCTCCAGCACCAGGTGCGCGTCGCAGAACCGCGTCTCCTCCCGGAACGAGCTGAGCGCCCGCAGCAGCCGCGCCGGGTGCTGCGGGTCCGACACGGCGCTCGGCCCCGACATGGTGCTGCTGCCGCCGCCGAGCCGGGCCGGGCCGGGCCGGCTCAGTCCCTGCCCTCACACCATGGCTGAGCGCCCGCCCGCCGCTGACATCATCCGCCGGCATCATCTCCCCGCGCCGCCCCGCGGGGGCGGCCCGGCCCGCCCGCCCCGGCACCGCCGCCCCTCCGCCGGGCCGGGGCGGGGACCCTGAGCTCGGCACGGCCGCGACAGTGTGGGTGTTATCCCTGAAGTGTCTGTGTTGTCCCCTCTCGGTTTTGAAATGTGGAGGTCTGGAGAAGGGCAGGGGAGCCGGTGAAGGGTCTGGAGCACAAGTCCAGTGAGGAGCGGCTGAGGGAGCTGGGGGGGCTCAGCCTGGAGGAAAGGAGGCTCGGGGGGACCTTGTCACTCTCCAGCTCCCTGACAGGAGGGTAGGGCCGGAGGGGTCGGGCTCTGCTCCCAGGGAACAAGAGACAGGACAAGAGGACACGGTCCTAAGCTGCGCCAGGGGAGGTTTAGCTTGGGCGTCAGGAGGAATTTTTTCACATACAGGGTGATTAGACGTTGGATTAGACACCCTGCAGGTGTCTAGGGAAAGACTGGACGTGGCACTCAGTGCCATGGTCTAGTTGGCAGGGTGGTGTTTGGACTTGATGATTTCCGAGTTCTTTTCCAACCCAGTTGATTCTGTTATTCCGTAAAACTGGTCTTACATTTATTTATTTGCTCCCTTTTGCATGCTGGAGATGAACATGACTGGCATTAGCATGAGGAAAAGTAAGAGAATCAGATTTAAGTACAGCGAGACTCACTGCGATAGCGCCGCTTTCCACAGCTGCCTGCTGGAAACACGGCCTGTTCCAGCAAAGGAGATCTCCTTCAGGACTGTTCACAGGCTAAATTTTAGGCTGTTGATTAACACACTTAATTGCACATTAAGAGATGACTTGATTCCATCTGCTTTCTTAACAGCATTCACTATTTAAGCACTGAAACTATTTGCACTCTGAGTGAAAGTGTTTCAAAAGCTGTGATCTGCTCTAAAACACACACCCAGCTGGTGCTGCCAGGAGGGACCCAGCACAGCAGCTCACTGCATTCCCTGCGCTGCTGGGCACAGCTGGACTGGGAATTCTCAGGCTGTGGAACACCCAAATGGACATCACACTGTCCATTGCTCCACTGGGACAGTAACATTTTCAGAGGGCCCGGTCTAGCAAAGCTGTGGTGGGTCACATGCTTTTATTACTTGCATTTCTGTGAAATGTGACAAAATGTTATCCTGCGTTCAGTTTGATGCTGTCTCCATTTTACCACTTGGAAAATGAATTAAGGTATCTGGAAGTGACCCCAAATGAATGCCTTCACAAAGGCAGCCTTGTTCTTCCCCAGCTAGACACAATGCTGGTTTGTTGTCCAGATGGAGGTTGCAGCTGGGACATCCACACGTGGAGACCCCGCAGTGCAAACCCTGCTCTCAGTGCCTGGGTGGGGAGTGGGCACAGCCCCCTTTGAGCCAGTGTTTACCTGAGCACCAGGCTCCAGGTTTGCTGTGCAGCTCTGAACAAGAGTTTTAGGAGCAGAGGATGTTTCATGGAGGCCTAAAATCATGCTAATGTGCATGAAACACCAGCAACTTTGCAACACTTATGGTTATACTACCCATTTACAAATATTAGAAGGCCACTTCTTCTGGCTTGGGTGTAATTACTCAGGATGTCAAGTGTAGAATGAGGAGGAGCACAACAGATCCAGAGGACACATTCCCAGCTCTCTTTGAGGGTAATGAAGGCAGAGAGCACCCTGCACCTTGACTGCTTGTTATTAATACTGTGGTAATTGCATACCCAGGGGACCAGTGGTTTGAATTATTGCAAAAGCTGTCATTGAGTGGCCTGGTTATTTAAAAAGAAAGACACCGGTGTGCTTCCGTGCCTCCTGTTACACAGGAAAACATTGTTGTATTTCTGGTTTTTGACTCGTCCTAGTAAACAGTGTTTCTGCTTCCTCCTGCTGCAAATGTGGGGCAATAGGACAAGGTGTAACAGATAATACCCACTTTTAGAGAACAAATTATTTATTATACCTTGTTATTTGTTCGATTTAATGAAAGTCTTGGTAGAAAAAACAAAACCAAAACAACAACAAACCAAACCACTCTACCAAGGTCCACTTGTAACAGCTCTGAAGTAATGATATGATTCATACCCATGGCCTGATTCTATCACTCTAGTATATACTTTTTTCAGTTGAGATACCTATCCTTACTAGTTTTATTTGCAGTCACTCAATCTAGATTTGTTTTAAGCCATTCCAATAACTCCGTGAGCTTTACTGGGCTAATTTATGGCTTAAATTTCTGCAAAAGAAGACTCAAACCTTTCTGCCCTTGAGATTTCACAGTTTGTCAGCAGCAAACCAAATGACACTCATTACCACGTGCCATGTTGCCACATCAAAAAAACCCACAAGCCATGCAGCCACTTGGCAAAGCATATCTACATTCCCTGTGCTGCTGTCAGCCTGGAAATGATATGGTGTGTTACCATATTCAGGGTAAATGTTTCATCAGATTAGTATTGCAACCACTAAAAACATTCTTGAACAAATTTGTGATTAGCCACGTGGTTTTATCCCTCTTGTCTCTGCCGCAGGAGGATACTGGGATTGGCAAATCCAGATTTACATCACTGTTTTTCTCTTCAGGTTGGCTACAGACTTGATGCTAGTCAAGTCCTGTGTAATACTGACCAAGGGAATGTGGCCCATTTTGTTTAAAAAATCATACCCAAGACAAGATCTTACAATTTATTTTCTACATTATTTCTGCATGAATGTAAATAACAGGTTTACTTTCTTAGACTACAGGTTGCTTTTATGGTGAGTGTTCCCCTATCGTGTCATCTCTACCAGTAAGAATTAGTTCCTCAGAAGTCAATTAACTCCTGTGTCCAAACTCATGATCATCCAAAACCATAACCCCATGAATTCTACAGAAGAAATTCTGAAGAAAAAAATCTTAAAATACAATCTATAATAATGGTTAGACTTTTGATTCATTGCCATCTTAGAGTTTTAGAAATATTTGTGGGCACTTGTTAAATCCAAATTTTTCCAGATCAAAAGGAACAACTCCAGAGCTGGTGTCTTTTGCCAATATCACTAATCTTTCCTTCCCTACCAGTTCCATATTACATACAAAAATGGAATTCAATTTCTTCTATAGAAGATAAACTTCTCTTAGATACTAGTGTTAACATGCCTTGGAAACACTAGAGGTGACTATTTCTGCAGACACACCTTACTGAAGTATTTATTTCCATTCTGTGGAACATGTAAACCTCTGAATGCCCAAAACTGCATATTTTAACTAAACCTGACCACAGGGACTTTTTTTTTTAAAACATTAAAAATAGCCTGTATATTCTTTATACCTATAAAGTGCAAAGACTTAAGCAGAGAAACTGAGTCCTAGTTGTTACAGAGCAGACAGGAACCGTGGCTGATGTTGGTGCAGTTCCTGCTCTGCTCTAAACATCTTAGGTAACCATGAACAAGTCACCAAGGCCCAGATTCTCATGTGATGGGGAGATAGTAAATGACCACGATTTCATTCTGCTTCCTACCTGTAAAACAGCATGAGCAGCACAGACACTGTGAGAATGTGTGTACAAAAGTGAGAGATACCTGAGCAGTGTGGTGATATGGACAGACCAGATGAACACCTAAATGGATGGATGTACACCTGGTTTTCTCTGTCAGTACAGATGCCTCCAACAGTAAATGTATGTACAACAGGAAAATACAATTCAAAGCAAAAAAGCTCTCATTTAAAGAAAAATCAATGCCCTGAACAGGGAAACAGAAATACACTCAGGGGATTAGGAAATGCCATTCCTGTAACAAAAACCAGTCCCACTGTACTTGGCACTTTATGAACTTGATGTTGAAATGTACTTTTTAATTGTGCCTGTTAGTGAGAGTTGGGCACTTTTATTAGGAAGCATCAGGTACAGGCAATGATAAAGCCATGTGAGAATATGGATGCTCCTAAGCAGACATAAAGCAAATGCTCAGCTCTGGCAACAACAGCTTGTATATAGTTTCAGCTTCTGTGTGGTTCAGAGGAGACCTAGATTAGATCTTTCACTCTTTCCCTAAACAGTTTGTTGTTCCTGTGTCTTGAGTTCTGCTAGAAATACACTGCCCTCATTCACATACATACTGTTATTAACAGACACGAGTAGCAATATTAATAAATACTGCAATTCTTTTTTATCTTTTACACAAGGTAATCATCTAGTTACATGAAACGTCAGATATTGTCCTCAGGGAAAACTGATTTAAATACAAAGTGCTTAAGACTGAGTATCACTAAAGTATAATTGAATGATACATAAAAATATATACTCTATTTCAATAAAGTTACTTGGTTTTGTCAACATAAAAGTGAGAAATACCCCATGAAAGGACTAGCAAAGCTGCAGTATTGTGGATTCTGGATAAGAAAAATGTAGCACCTCAACGTAATACTTTGGTTATGGTGGAATTTAAGAAATCAAGCACCAAGAGAATACACTGTCATGAATTATTAATATAGTAGATAGTTTAACATGAGGTTCTTCTGGCAGGAGACAACTTTCATTGTCAGCTGAGTCTTGCAACAGTCCATGAAGTTCCATGACCTGCAGCCATCTGTGACTCATGCCATGCGTCACCCTATAAATACAGTCCTTCATTGCCTCACAAAGCTTGAGCCTGCTCAAATAAAACATTTCTTGCTACCTTTGTCTCCTATTCCCTGCCCCGTGAGTTGTATAAAACATTAGCACTTCATACTCATAATTCTTCTTTTGGAATAGTGATAGACCAGTTGTGCATATAAGAATTTGTAACAAAAGTCATTGCTATCTCTTATAAGAGATTATATATAGATATTGAAGAGATTATAATTAGTCATTTCTTGTCATAAGAGAAGGTTGTTTCTGAAGGATATTATCCCCCATTCAGTAGAAGGTTGTCTTGGTCTGTGCAATAAGACAAACAGCATTTTATTCAGTCTCAGTCTTCAAATCTTGCTCTGGTATAAACATTCCATGCAGGTCCAGATGCATTTTTACATCTACTGTGGCTCGTCCCAATTCTGTGAATGTTTTAGCATCCAAGACAAGTAGGAAGGGTGCTTTCTCTGGATCAGTCCTCACAACACAGGTCAGAACAACACCTGTGATGTACAAATGAAGAATTAGAAGCATATAATAGTTACACCAAGAAGGAAAGATAACACTGTCAGGAAACAGTTCTTATTTCCTGCGAGTTTTAGAATACTAAGTGCTTTACTAGTACTTTACTGAGAGTGCTCAAGAACTAATGGATGCTTCTCTTCTGTGCTTTCTGCTGGTCTGCCCGCAGTTCATTGGGAGGGAAAACAAGCAAACCAACACCAAACTGTTCCTGGTATTTTTGGGGCTCATCCTTTCAGCTGTTTGCCATTTGGCTTTGCAAGGGCTCAGCTGAGAACAGAACTGGATGGAGATTACAGGAGTATTTGCAGTGCCACTGGTTCTCACTGGTAACATCACTGACTTCCCACTGTCGATAAATCCATCTCTGAGTGGCTCTCTGGAAAATCCTAAGCATTGGTTTTATTGTTTATGGCTCCGTTGAGACATTACGAAGCTGATTTTGGTCTATTGTTACTTTGGTTTTCTGTCTGCAGGAATAAAATGGCTGGTGCTAATTTTAATCTCCCAGTGGAAGCATGAACCCAGCTTTCTTGACTAAGAACAATAAAACTTGTAAGATTTAATACAAAACTCATGTAACCCCAGCTTTCGGAATGTTGTTATTTTACCGTCATCCTCTTCTCTTGCATCAGGGCTGGGAACAAAGATGGGCTCTGATGGCCAGCAGTCCTCCCCTCCCCAGTGGAGCATTTCCTTTGTCTGGGTATTTAATTTTGCAATCTAAATTGTTGTGACCAGAAAAGAACAATGTCAGTGACCCCAACAGTAGCTTTTTCCAAAGGTACCATGTGAACACACAGCTGGCAGGGGGCACCAATGCTAAGGGTTAAGGAGCAACAAGGCACAAGAAGGAAACACCTGGAAAATGTTAAATTTTGGAGTCATATTTAGTGGCTGCATAATCACACAACGTTCTTTTCATTTCGTTAGATTACAACTGCACCTTCCATTTATAGTTTACAAACACTAACAGATCACGAGATCTTCAGTGTCAATAATGCCCTCACTCCACAGAGTCCAAGGCCCAGAACATCTAAGTCCTTGTGCCAATTCACTGAGATTCTGCAGTAGACCAGAAAACATTTTCTAATCCTGTGAATTATTTTCCCTATTTCTCAAGGCCTTCTATTGTGCAGTAGGGTACCTATGCCAGAACCAAGGCTATTCATAGTGAGAGGCAAAGATTAAGCCAGCAGGGCAGACACTGGAATTTACTGAAGGAGCAGAGTGTGGATTTTCATCTCACTGAGTGGCCAAACCAATTGCCAGAGGGGATGCCTGGCATTTTCAGTTCAATTCCATTAAGGCCTCTTCTCTACCCACACAGATGCAGTTCTATTCTTTTCCCTTTTGATCTTAAGCCAAAAAATATGTTTACACAAAAGTGAAACTATTCTGATTAGTGGAGGAAGAATTTGGAAGAATTCTCTTGTCTAACTTTAAGATTACAGCAATTTCACTGACAGACTTTACCTTATTAAATTGGATTATATGTGGATTATATGTGGTGGTTGTTGTGCTTGCATTCATTAAAGTGCAACTGATGTAAAAAAGAAAATCTCCTAACAGCGTCTTTTGTTATGTTTAAGTCAATCAGGGATTATCTACACTGGAAATCACAAACTTGCAGATTTGTTTGAGCTTCTGTCAGATATGCTGCAATAAATTTTTTCTTGCATCATGCAGAAATCCAGCTTTATTTTGTAATCAGTTGTGGTAATTATATACAAGAACCAACAGTGACCTCAATTTGTGCTGCCTTGTAGTCACAGAACAAGAATTGTAAAGAGTGAGTTTGTCTGTATAACATTCTTACCTTCAAATATTAACACTAAAGGCTGTCTCCTGAAAAGCTGGCATCATGCACAGGTAAACAAAGCATTTGCTACCCTCTAAGAGAGAACCAGCCAATAAAATATAAAGCTTTCTGAAAAATTAGATATTGTTTTAATATTTCAAGTTTATTAGGTAGCGTTGCAATATCTTATTTTTTTTAGTTAGGTTTTGAAAAGGAAAAAAGTATTAAATATGTACATCTATCAGTACTTCTTCCTACTCCCTCCTTTGTAGCTCTTGGCACATTACAGAAGGTTCAGCCCAATAGAGCAGAAAACTGAGGGTCTCAGTAACTATTCCAGAGACTTTGTGGGAATAGAAAGCTGGAGAGAGATGCCTGAGTTTATCAATACTTTATCAGGGAAATGGTACAACATGAGCTTACCCTCATAAGAATTCAGGCTTTTCGTGTTTCTTTGCATGTGAATGACACACAACTGGGAAAACACTGACTTTGTAAATGTTAATTATACCTTTGTAGGAATTGGACTCCACTGCAATTCCGTTGCAAAGACATACTTGTGTTTTTTGCCATTATAGTCATAGTTGATGCGAGGCAGTTCTATCCCTGGGTAAAATAAAGTTCAAGAGTTAGGAATAAGAAAAGAAAAATAACTGAAATGTACATTTGCATATAGCAATCTTCAGGAAGTTTTGCCCTGTGGAAAACTTTGACACTATTTAATAAAGATGTTGCATAGAGTTTGTATGTCTGAATTTCTAAGAAGCAGAAGATGGGTGTTAATATAATTAAGCCAGGGTTGTTAGTTCAAAAACTGATGATATTTCATTCTTAGGGATTCATTATACTGGAATTTATGAAGGTTTTTTTCGGTGTGGGGTTTTTCTTTCTTCATAAATACATGACCTGAACAACTGAGATAAAACTGGAGGCTACCATTCTAAGACATTACTTTCACTTTAGCTAAATATATACTATTTGCATATTCCTGTTATTATGCCCTGAAAAAAGTTTAAAAATCTGCTTTTCAAGGCAAACATTATAAAATACAGTAAAAACTGAAGGTACTATTTATAACAGACTCATTTAACTAAAATGACTCTTGTAACAGGTAGATTTGCAAGCCCTATTAATAGATGTGACATCAGACTTGGGATCCTGTATTAACACAAAACTGATGTAACATCAGGCATTTAAATGTTCAGGGTCATGTATTACTGGATAGACCCAGAGGAAGGCAGTAAAGAAGAAAAAAATATACTGTCAATATCTACACTAAGCATGTTCATTAAAAGTGTCATTTCCCTTTGCTTTATAAAGATTTTCCATATATGAAAAACTGAATTTTCCATATATGAAAAGCTCTCAGGCATTATGAGAACACACTTCTGTGTGTGTAGGAGAATGTATTTGAGATCTGTATAATGGTCATGTCTCACCTTCACACAGTATTTCAGGTTGGCAGTAGATCCCATCTTTCTCCTTTACAGCAGTTGCAGTAGAGGGAAGTGTGACTAAATTAGAACCTACTCCAGCGTCCTGAAAGAGATATACACTGAAAAATCTTGTGTCTGTAAGGATATGCTTCTAATTTAGATTTTTCATCGTGTTTGATATTAATATAAACAATGTGGGGAGTAAACAAATAATCAGCTTTCAAGAAGATCCTTCTTATGGTGTTTATCTTGTAACATTGTGAGGTTTTCATGAGAAATCTTGTTATACTCATAGTATTTTAATATATCATAGAATAATCATTTTGAATCACACTGAGTCCTTAGAAAGGTTTAGATACATGTGGCTATGTTCCAAAAGTACAACAAATTTGTGAATTAAATGAATGAAGATGGGTTTCAAAGAATTGGGTATCAAACTCCCACTAGAAGTCACCAATGTTAGGTTTTTGCACCTGCTAAAAATCAAGTGCAAAAATAGGTGTAATACACTCTTTAATGTGCTACTGCTGAATTCTTAAGGTTGCACAGGGTAGTTTGAACAGCTGGTGTGATCCAGCATGTCCTTTGTCAGTGCTGCAGAGCTGTTTCTGAAACATGAACAAAGCAGCAAGATTCCAGGATGTAGAAAGAAAGAGTAATATCCATTCCAAAAGTATCAGGCAGAAACTTGTCCGAGTTGCTGGGCAGTATAAGATCTTCTGTGCAAACAATGATGTAAAATGATGTTTTAAATTAAACTGAAAGATAAAATCTTTTCTCTTCCTGGTGTATCTCACACTTAAATGAAATCTTCTTACTTTAATATAACCACTGCAATGGTTGGGAGCGTGTGTGTATTAAATGTAGGCTCCAGTAAAGTGCAGTAAACAGATTGTGAAAAACTTCACACATGCCCTTGCAGCCAGCAGCCAAGGTGATATATCTGCTTGTGTTTGATGGCATTTAACAAATAATCTCCCTGGTAAGAGAATGCCATGTTCCCAATGGCCCTGTTCTCCACAAGGGATGGTGTCAGCACCTGGATCCACGTGACTGTGTCCAGATGTTTGCTGCCATTTCTCACAATACATACACAAAACAAACCTCCTGCCCATTTTGTGTATCCCAGAATCAGAAATCTGCACATAAAGGCTGGCAGCTAGTAATTCACCCGTTGATCACACTGATGTATTTGAAATTACTGATTAAAGAACACATTAAACAGCCATTTTCTTTCTACCTTGTCAAACTGCAGAGGAACGACAAATCGTTTGCAGGTCGGGATGGCGGTGAGCTTGGTGTTCTCTTCAAAGTCTTTATTCAAGTTTTTTAAATAGAACATGTCATATAAGCTATTGTCTGTATAGGAAATAATATCAAAAATAATGTGGCCATCCTCTTCATAAGCATTTACATGGTGGAAAAACACCATGGCATCAGTATAAAACTTGGTGGACACTTCTTTTTTAGTCTTCCTGTCTACAAAGTGAAACCAAGTCTGAAAGATAAAAAAATGTTATTGAAAACTGTTCATAGTCAGCAAACAGCTATTTAGAAAACTGTTTTCTAATGGTAACCATCACCATTCTAATCACTGTCTACTGAAGCACAGTAAGAGCTCGGGGTTTGCTGCTGGGAGATAAGAGGTTCCAACCTGAAGACCAAAAAATGATGGAATAAAATGAGTGTGGAAGAGCTTTAAGCTCCTTTTACTATTGCAAATTACTTCTGGGCTAGGCTGAGGATTGAAATTTTCCAGTAAAACCTGGAAAATCCCCTGCTCTCTTTTTAAGTTAAATCAATCTGCCTTGGTCGAGGGTCTCTGTAGTGCTCTGTGCTGATGCCCTGTACCCCAGCAAGTCCCATTTATTGATGGCCAGAGCATCAATAAGTGGAAACATGGTCCTCAGAAAACAGGTTTTTTCCCTCAGTTGCCACAGTGAAAGACTCTCCTTTTGTTCAGTGCAGGCTGCTCCACCAATCTGGTTCTATCACATGCAATGCCCCCAGAGCAGATCTCATCCACAGCATTTTGTTTGGGCCAGGAGCAACTGAATGTGTCTCAGATGCTGGTGCAGGTTGGAATTTCTCTGCTAGAACACAGTATTTCTAACAGTACCTACTTTATAAACTACCCTCTTTCTTAAGAGCTTTGGCATATTTATTTGTGAAATTTCTGGACATGGGAGATGGTATTCAAAAAAAGACAACTTCTAAACAAACAGTGCAACGTGAAAGCCAAGGGTTTAAAAAAACAAGGGACTATTGACATTAATGAACCAGATGACAACAGAACAGCATGGAAGAGGTCACTGGCCTGCCTGACTCCCTTGCTCAGCATCAGGAAAAATACCTTGTCATCCTTATTGAAGGCAAGGCAGGAAGCCCAGGTCACCCCTCGGATGTAAGCAGTTGCCATTTTGACAATATCCAGCCTGAAGGGCTGCTCTACGAAGATGATATAATTTTCTGTGAGTCCAAAGCTGTGGTAGTAGCTGGGGTGGAGCAGAGAGCGAGAAGGGATGGAGCAAACCACTTCCAGGTGTTTGAAACAAGATTTCTTCTTTTCTTGTTCTGAATATAAACAAAAATGGTCAAAAATTAAAATATATTTATAATAAGTTCCTATTCAAACTTGTGCTTGGGTTTCTCCCATGCATAGAAGAACAGGTTCCTCTCAGTTTTAGTTGCCTTTTCCTGTTAAGAAAGTGGTTTGTTTACTACTGTATAATTAACATAGACGTTTGCATCCCAGTGAAGCAACACAGTGAAATCACAATGCCAGATCCATTCAGGCAGAGCCCCCTTGTCTTGGGATTTGATTCCACTGGTTACTGCCTTCAGAATTTCCAGTATAGAGGAGAAAGGTGTTCACTTAAATCAGTAGCTTTTAAAAGGAGTTCAAATGTCCCCGTATTTTTTAACTGCTAAGGAGATGTTCCTGCTTGACCTCTATTGACTTTGAGCCCCAGCTAGAAATTACAAACTGATCTTGCAGCTCTTGGAGGCCTCTTGATTGTTCAGCAAGGGCCAGGCATCCCATTAGCAGCTGATTTTAAACAACACCACACACACACAAAATATTATTTGAAGGAAATAAAGTAAGGGATTTGCTCTGTGAACAAAGGATGGTGTTTCAGCAAGGCCCAGTGTAAGCCAGGTTAGAGAGGAATTTGCTCTATATTAGGTATTATTTGCTTCCCTATCATCACAGTATCAGCATTTTGTGAGAATTTTCATTTATGAAGAAACTAAAATTTACAACTTCCAATTATATATACTGCCCTATAGAGAAAACTGTTTTTCAAATCTTCATCTGAAAGTAAGGTCCTTCCTACTGAAATACCCTGTTTACACAGTACTCAGGATGGACCTTTGTAAGAGCACATGCCCAGACAGGCTAAGCAGTTAACATGAACCTCACAATAAGTTGAAATTAAGAAAATTAACACCACTGGTTGCTAGATGAGCTGTATCACTCCTCCTTACCCTCAGAAGAAAGAAATTGCTAACAAGTTCCTAGAAAATACCAATAAAAGAGATATCTTACCTGGCACAGAGGAAGGAATCTTAAATAGGACGTATTTTGTCCTCCCTTTATCAACTATTGAAGTGCCCATGTTGAAAACATTTCCAGCACTGTCATAGTGTGGGTGAGAAGTTGTCACATTTACAGCTACGTATTTGTTGTAGTCAACCTGGAAAATGATACAATAAGAGGTCTGAGAGAAGTGTAAGAGAATTAAAATTGATCTCAGCTAACACCACAAATCCATCAGCTTTTTAACACTGGCAGCCTTTTATTGGCACCCCATTTTCAAACAACCTTGAAATTTAAATATTTAAACCAAATGGCTTGTGTCAAATCATTTCCTAATTCAAGGATAAAACTAAGTTACAGAATCTGAATTACAGTCACCCCTCCCTTGCAGCCACACAACACCAGGGGAGGATCAGCTGAAGAAATTCCTGTGCGAATTCCCATTTCACCCTGGAATCAGTTTATTTAACAGGGCTGTGGGTCTGGCAACCTGCTGGAGCAAAAAGACTTCTGTTTGACTTAAATTTTGGAAGTTGCACTCAAACTGTACTGTGTGCTAGAAAAAACCTCATTGTATATATTTCCATATATCAAGGTTCCATTTTGATAATTAAGTAATATCTTGCATAAGGTTCTTGAAAAGTAGTCATATAACTGACCTACTGACTTGATAATTATGTAAATAATTTTATAACTGAGATACATAATAATGGCAATCATTCAAAATAATCATGTGATTGTGGTATTACTCCTGCAACCTTGCTAGATTATGTACAAGTGAACTTGCCCAAAGCCCCACTTTTCCCAAACCACATGGGATTTAAATTTGATTTCAGGAGTCCTTGAAAGATCTGGTACCTTCACTATTTCACTTTGCCACGATTTCAAAAGTAAGGCAACAGTAGAAGAAAAATATTTTGTGTCCTGCATGTGTTCGAGGATCCTTATCAGTCAGCCTGAAACTTTATTCACTAGCAGACAAGGAACTAAAAGGACAGACAGAGGTTTATACCTTGTCCAACGTCTCCAGAGTCTGCGGATTAATTTTCCTGATGAAGTTGGTCTCGCTGGTAGCATAAAAATCATCCCCAGCTTTCAGAATGTTGATCAGGCAGTTGTCTGTGAACTCAGGAATGGTGTGAGACAAATAGCAGAATGCCCTGTACAGAGAGAAATTCCCAATGGGTTCGTTAGAGCTGGAAGCTGGAGCTGCTCTCCCCTGCACAGAGCACAAGTCATCCGGGCAGTGTGACCTGGGGCTGTCTCTCCTTGCTGTGCCCTCTCCTGGCAGCTCCCACACTGCCTCGGTGGAAAGGGTGGAAAGGCAAAGGAGATGGACTTCTCCAATGCCCTTGGCCTGGGGGAGGGTTAAGGGCACACAAGCAAATGTTTTTCCATGCACAAATGGGCATCCAGGCCCATTCCTGCTGTCAGCTCTAGCACATGCACTGCTTTAGCAGGATGGGCTAATTACACACTCTCCTGTGCCTACCTTGGGAAAATTTGGCCTAGCAGTTCCTACCTAAAAGCTGGAAGGTTTTTCAGTGTATGCCTTCATAAATAGATAGTCATATACTCCCTGAAGGAATATTTTTGTTCCCAGTGTTATCCCATATCACAATTATGATTTCAAAGATCCAACTTCACACGTGGGCTCCAAAGCCTTTCTTATAAGTGTAGGATTTTATCATAGTCCCTGGAAGCCAAGACAAAGTTGCTTATATCCCTTTTGAACTTAAAATGCCAGTTACTCTATTAGTGCTGGAAGAGGGAAGAAAATCATCTGATCTCAGGGGAACGACTTGCAACATATCAGCTGTTCTGCAAGAACTGTTCCTGCATGGTTTACTTACCAAATATCACTTCGAGGTTCAGCCAGGAAGTACAGAGGGGTGAGCTATTGGCATTTGTTAGGGAATACCCACAGCCAATCTTACAAGACCAAGGATAACATGATGGCTCACACCTCGCCTCTCAGCTTTAATCAAAAAGCTTTTCTGATTTTTGCAGTTATTGATGCTTCTTTTCTTTTTGTTGAATAGACTTTGCATTAATTCCTTCCCCATCTCTTAGTCCTGGGCAGGGCTAAGGGTTGGGCTTGGTGACCCTTGTGGGCCCCTTCCAACTCAGCATGTTCTGTGATTCTGTGATCTTTTCCTCTCTTGCTGCTTCTCCCCTTACAGTATCGTAAGTTTTGCGAAAAGCACGAGAAAGAAAATGTTTGTTTTTTACAGAATCTGTTTGCGCTGAGTGAACAAACCAACAACATTGGTGACAAAATCAATTTACAGTGTTTGCCTTAGACTAATCCACAGAGGCCTTCTCAATATTTAGTAACCGTAAATTGCCGAACCAATTTTATTACTGTACAGATGTGTCAGGGTAAACAGGGAGAGAAGTAAACAGAAGAATCTTGTTGGGGAAAGCATTGCTTACTTGGCAAATATGTTTTTACAGGGATCTGGATAAGCCATAGTGCCAAACTCAGACACCACGATTCTGTTTGCTTCCACGTTGCAGTTGTACGTGTCACTTCGGAGGTACTTACTTCTGTAGTAAACTTCACCTGAAGAACAACAAACAGGCTTCCATCACATTTTAGACTTAGTTCTTCAGAAAATTAGCAAATTAGGTAAAGGCAAAGTTTCTCAAGCAGCTGTCCTTTAGCCAGCAATAGTTTGGAACAAAACCAACAATGCCCCTAACTCCCTGTTTTGAAAGGCTTTGTGGCTGCTGAGATGGGTAGCAATTTGTCAAGACTCTCTGACTCCCAACACTTTTGGGCAGTACTGGGGGACTTCTGAGGGGAAAGGAGGGATTTGGATAAATTGTTCCAGTAAAATAAAACACTGTGCAAAAACGATTAATTATACAATCCATGTACCAATGTGATAAATCTCCTGTTTTGGCAAAATCTAGTTATGAGAGAGTAACAAATTTGCTTGAAGGAATCAATGTCTGCCCTAAAATATTTAATGGCCCCCTACACTTGAACTAAGTGAGCTCTGTTTGTTTTAGATAATTAAAACATACTGGCAATTTAAAAAAAACCACATTTATTTATAGGTTATTTTGTTAAGGATATAGATCTGGACAGGCAAGGAGATCCTGCAGTTGCATTAAATGCTTCCAATCACAGAAATGAAAACTAAACAGTGAGCACTAGGATTGGAGGATGGCAGGAGTAAATACCATTTTTTTTTATAGACATATACTTTTTGCCACAAGAATCTAGGTGTAAACCATCCTGCCTCACACTGTAAAACAGCTGAATGAATGAAAAATGCTCTAACTGAAAACAAAAAATGCAATTACTTAGGATAGAGGAGCTGCCTGTTTTCCCCCATAAAGATGACAAGCAGGACTGTATGACAAAGATGGACTGTAGGGGTGTCAAATATACCTAAGTGAGGTTTGATGTGTGAAGTGACACAGTGGCCCAGTTACTCTGCTGGCAGCTGTTATAGCTGCAACCAAATCCCCAAAGGGGAATGTTAGTCTTCCCTTAAATTAGGCTGTTCATCCACAACAGAAAATCTCCAGATATTACAGGGCTGTCCATTTTAAAATAGCAGAGGTTTTCTTGCTCTGGATGGAAGGGAAAGGCTGCCCTGCAGTGACCTGCCCAGAGCTGGTTTTGTGCTGTCAACACTGAACTTTGGCACTCTTGAAAAAAGGATAATATAACATCTCCCTGATAACAGCCCTGCAGAGACACTCCTGCTGCAGACAGGGAGGTGGGAGGGTGCTTGGAAAGACTTTCCCCACAGCAGTTCCCACACAAGCCACGCCGCAGAAAAAACCTCAAACACTCTAATCCAGCTCAAAACAGAATTAGCAACGTAAGGCACCAAAATATGGGGTCTGGAGCTGTTTTTAGTGTCATGTGCAACAACTCACCATTTTTAAATGTAAAGCTGTGCAGCAGAGCCAAGCCATCAAACCAGTGGTTGTACTTGCTGTCCCCTATGGTGTGCATCCCTGGGCCATTCCGGAGAAGGATCCCTTGCAACCAAGTGGGCAGCTGACCTATAAACAGAAAGGAGTTACCAGTATCCATTCATTTAGGTGAGGGGCCTATTCCAGGACAGTTTTCCTAAGGGCTACACAGACTACTGGTGTTGAGATTTGCAGTACCATACAATTATGTTGGAGTTTGGGGTCACTAAAATTTCCTCTGCTCAAAAATGCAACATTCTGCATGACTCTTACTATTGTTATATGAGATTACTATAAGAAGATGAGATTGCTGGAATGTAATTTGTTAATTATCAGGAACAAAATAAAGTTGGACCTTTCTTTGCTGCACTCAGATTTTACAGTGATACATTTCAACCCTTTTATTCGTGCCAGGAAAAGATACAGCTTATCAGAAACAAACATATTTTATGGGTTAGATGACTTGCACTGGCCTCCAGTATATCAATTTAGACTTCAGGCTAAATTAATTCCAGTAAAAATCCCATTAATTAAATTACACAGCATAATGTAGTGTCATTTTGGGAGTGCTTCTGTGACATTGGTCATAATGTGGTGCTTTGTACACAAATAAAGTGTAGGAATATTATACTGAAAATGTGTAAGTACTGTTGAGCTTTCAATCAGAAATGTTCCTCATCAAATCTCTGCAAGAAAAATATTACCTACCATTTGACTCACAGAATGACAAACAATTAAAGAATGTCATTGGGGTTAAAGAGATGAACAAAAGCATGACAGATATGAAATGAAAAGCCTCACTTGTTTCTCTTTGTGTATGCCTCCTGAGGGAACATTTTAAATTATATACTGCTCCTCCACACAGTTAGAATCATAGATTCATAGAATAGTTTGGGTTGGAAGGGACCTTAAAGATTATTTAGTTCCACCCCCCTGCCTTGGGCAGGGGCACCTTCCCCTAGACCAGGTTGCTCAAAGCCCCATCCAGCCTGGCCTTGAACAATTCCAGGGACGGGGCGGCCATCACCCATCATTAGGGCATAACTTCATTAGGGTCACAGTTCTGGAATACATGAGGAAGATAAAAAATTGTTGACACAACAGATGAAGAATTTTTTTTTCTCCTTTTTTTTTTTCTTGTCCCTACAAGACCCTGGAAAACCAAATCTTACTTCCCTCTCTAACATAAGAAGTTCCAAAGCAACAATTATAGTACTTTTTTTGTGTATGATGAACATGGTTTAACCCTTAATACAGGTTATTGCACAAAACCTGAGTAACTAAAAATAGCTGGTGGGAAGACAGTGAAGAAATCACCAGTTAGCAAAAGAAAAAAAATCCTTCAGAGAGAATAGCATTATGAGCTTCAGAAAGTACATATTCAAAATAAATCCATGATTTTCATTTGGCTGACTACTGAACATTAACTGCTGAACAAGTTGAGTCTTTTTACGTGCCTAAAATACAAATGTTTTTCTTCTTGCCACTTCCCTTTCTATACTTCCTGTTATCTGGCAGTAGCAGGTTGAAGCTTTGCTATTTCTCCCATATTATGGGCAATTCAGGCAACATCTTGCAGCTATTAGGGCTAAAAATTTTGTGTAAAAATTCCCATGTATTAGAGTAATGATGCTCAAAAAGTTTCAGGACAGGCCAATAAAATAATTTTGCTGGAAGAGATAAACAGGGGGAAAAGAGGATCTTCGTTTTAAGGCACTGTGGATTTAATACAGCTGCTGAAACTTCTGGAGCAATTCAGTGTAGTTTCTGGCATATTTTCAGTATGGAAAACATGGAGCAAAGGGTCAGCTAGTGAGGTTTTCAGATGAAAATTCATCTTAGTGGGAATTAACCAGTCAGCATCCTAAAGTGTTATATTCCTTTAAAAATCTGGACTTTATTCTTTTCCCTACCATGTGAGGACACAACAGTGACACAGGACCCTCAAATATTTGGATATTTATTAACTATTGTAGCAACAGAGTCTCAGACATGGCTGTACATGGCTCCAAGCCATGGAGAGCATGGGTTAAATTGCAGCTGATCTTAAAAGTACGTGTTTATATTTACAGTGTACATATTGAGTAACAAGGAGCCAAAATACTGGCAGAGCTCAGGACTAGCAAAATATTTAAAGAGGTCAAGGTTCTCTATGAGTTTTCTTTAGCGATGAAATTTTATATATAGGAATATTTCATATATATAACTTTATTTTCTAAAATTGCAGTCTTTGTTCAAATAAACTATTGCATAATAGAGATCAGATCTGATAAATGGTTTGTTTGCAAACAACTTCAAATGTTTCAATAAGTAGTTATCTCGAGGGAAAAAATAATTGAAAGGCATAAACCCATAAAGGCATAAAATAATTGAAAGGCCGTTATAGCAAAGCACTTCGTCTGACTTAACACAAAATCGTTTCCCATTCAGCCACCAAACTGAACAAAAACGAAGTCGTGCAAGTTTTAATTGTCATCTTTTTAAGTGCTGTACTTGGGAAGTGACTTTACAATCAGTGTAAGACTCCTTACATTTCTTGGACTACATATCGCAAACAATACAGCAGAGATTTACTAAACAGGGGTTCTCGGCAACAAACCTCTTCTGTAGCTGTAGCAAAAGAAGTCTTCTGTAAAGTAAAAGAAACCAGGAAAAATAACAGGCTGGTCAAGGGTTCCTCCCTAGAGAGTCACTTTAAACTTCCGCTGAGGGAAACTCCTCAGTTTTTACTGGATTAACTTCTCAGCCCTCTTTTTAACGCTACCCGGTGGCAGCCAGTACTGCTGCCTGGCTACTTGATGCCGAGCCCGAATTTTCGGGAGCCCCCCAGGAGCCCGGGCAGAGTGGGAGCGGACAGAGGGAGGGGAGGGAAGAGTCCCAGAGAAAGAAAGCGAAAGCCTGAGCAGCGCCATGGAGGAGGGAGCGGCCGAGCTTAAATCCCGCTCTCGTCCCTCACCACCAACTTCAGTGAGCCCTGTTCAAACAGACTTTTGAAAAGTACACAGAATTGCCCACGAAGTGAGAGAAAGCCCCCAGCAGGGTCACAAACATTATCTGAGATCAGTCCTTTAAACAAAACTCCCTCTCGTATCTCCCTCTCCCGGTTTCCCTTTCCAGCGCTGCCTCGGGTGAACAAGTGTCGCAGTTTTTACGGGTTGGAAAACACCAAAACAGCGGCGCGTTTTAGAACAGATTCTCCTTCACTTACCCCGCACCTCGGCCTTTATGGGCTCTGGGTGTTCGTCTTTATTCCCGCTGTACAGTGCTTCCATGGCTGATGACATTCTCTGTCCCTGCCGTGCCCGGCGCTCCGGCAGCCGCCGTGCTTCCCCCTCTGTCTGGGCTCAGAACAGCTTTTTCCTGTTGCATATAAAGATAAGGTCAAAGTGCAACCCGGGCCGGTGGCTTATAGATTGCCAATTTATAATAGCTGATCTTTAATCCCCTGCACACACACCGTAATTGTTGCACGTTCGCATGAAAATTAACTCTTTGACCGGTTCAAAGGGGCAAGCGAGAAAAACGTAACTCGCCTGTTTGCTCCCGGGAATGGGGCTGAGGCAGAGCCGGGGCACGGGCAGGGTGGATAAAACATCCCTGCGGCTTTCCAGGGCAATGATGGACGCTGCTGAGGCATGCTTGTCCTGTTCGGCAGGCAGGGAGAGGAAAAGAAAAACATCTCCCCACTGTTCTGGTTTGGGATCTTTGGGAGTGACAAACACTTCACAGCAGGGGATCATCCTTTCCTTTCATTTTGTGGATTTTAGCTGGGCTACTCTATGAGTTAACAAATTATCATCGCTGGACAGTCACGGGATGTATTTCTTAACATGCAAGCTGCTCCAGAGTCAACTGAGTGGCACATCTTTGAATTAAATATCTCTCCACAAATAGTCACTCTACCATATTCATCCATGTGTGACCTGAAACCACTCTGAAAGTATGGCAGGATTCATTTAAATTAAGGCAGATTTTTAACTTCATGCTTTTGTTTCTAGATAAGGTACTTAACTGAGTCCAATGTTGTTAATTTTAAAATCCTCTGGGAAGAGAATTATTTCAATATAAAGCATGTGATTGCAGAGCAAATCATAGGCTCCATTGACCATGAAGGATAAAGAGATTCTTTGCACAATTATATATTATGCAATTTCCTATGGGGTTACCCTAAAATCTGATTTTGTCAGCTAAATCACCATTGTTCCCAAAATGTTTTAACATCACTTCTTAAAGCTGACTGAGCTCTTAGAAATATACATATTTATTTTATTCAAAACACAATTTGTGCCACAGACTGCTCTGATACACTCATTATATATTGTTCTCCTAACCCACTGCCTGTCCAATGGCTGATCTTCACTCCAGGGGATCACCAGGACAACGTCTTGGTCCATCTTCGGAAAGCACTGAAGGAGCAGGAGATACCAAAATAAGGAACAAGATTAAAAAAGAAAATATAAGACCTTGTTGGAATTAGGAATATTAATAAACAGCAGGAATGAACCAGAAGGCTGTAGGAGAGGAAGAGCACTAAAATCCACATATGCAGATACATACACATAAATGCACATGTACACTATATATGTGCAAGTGTGGATTTGCATATGTGTGAGAGAAAGAGTGTGTGTGCATTGAGATGTTGACTTACTTTATACACAAAGTCAAGTAAGGGATTTTTCAGCAGTGTTAGAGACTGAAAAGGATCTGGCAAAAAACCAGAGCTGCCCAACTCTGCTTTCCCTAAGCCATGAGGACATTTTCTCTGTCCACGATGTTCTGGTTTGCTTTAATGTGTTCATTATCCTCATCCATTGCTGTGTGCAGCTCTTAATGCTGCAGTTTTCATTATCTGACCTGTGAGTTGTCTTATCTGTAGTGGTATTAAGATTTCCATAGAGCAAGTAAGAAATAAAAAGATTAAGTCAAACCTCTTTTGCCTTCTCCACCATGACTGTTCATGTAGTTTAAAGGTCAGCCAAGATGAGATAGTTGGAAACCTGTTAAATGTTTGGGTGGAAGAACAAGGAGCTATAGATATTCAACAACTTCTGAAATCAATCTAAATGTGTTTGGTAGCTAATTTCAAATGTCTATGCCTGAAAGTGTTGTCTCATATTTTGTACAACTTAAATAAGGAAGCTTTGCAGATCTCATTTTTCCTGCTTGTTAGTAAAAGATACTTCATTTACCAACAAAACACTTTTGTTGTTGTTGTTTTCCTCACACAAATGACAAATAAGCAGTTTAGTAAGGTATGGAGAGAAGAATTTTCTTGCCAACTGTGTCATTTCCCCCTTTCTACACTGAAATGGAGAAATATCAAAGCACTGATTTACAATTATATGTAATTATCACCAGCAGATGTGGATCAGGTGACTTGTCTAATTTTATTATTTCACAATGTTTCTTCTTGTTGCAAACCCCTTTGACTATAAAACTTCCCCCAACCAAATCTAGCCTATCTCTCCAGTTTCCTCTCTCTATTCACCCCTCATGGCAACATTTTTGAAGTCATCAGCTCCCCACCGTGGGCGGGTTTGCTTCACTGTGTTTCTTTCTGCTCTAAACAACTGCGGTGAAGGCTACAAGCTCTTTCCTCTTCACTTCTCTCTCACTTTCACTTCCCTCCAGTCTCTGAGTGCCTTGAGCTTCTCTCCCGAACTTTTAAAAGTGCCATGAAGACATTTTTGGAGCAAAGAATTACCCTGCCCAGCACGAGTCTGGTGGTACTTCCCAAGGACAGCAAAGCTGGTCAACCACATTTCTGGTACAACGATGTCACTGCTGCCTGCCACCTTCGTACTTTTGGTTCACTTAACAAGAAGCAAATCATTACCTTAAAAATCACTCAGACACCAATATAATTCCTTATCTCTATAGTACTTAATTTATTTTAATCTTCTGCTTGTAAAGTCTGAGTTCTAATTAAAGCCCATTAACAAAGGTCAAATTGACTTGACGAATACGACTTTCAGCGCTGCTAAGAACTTTCAACTGCAACTGTTATCTCCTACTACCAAATAAAATTCCAACAGCAAACCTGATATGAACTCAGGAGTTGTTCTTGCTGAAATCACACTGATTGCTATCTCATCTGCTGGAGACACAAGCTCTTATCTTTGTTAAATATTGTTTTATTGACATGATCTCATTTCACAAAACTACCACCAGATTATTTAGGAATGTGTCTCTTGCACTGTCCCAATACAATTGCAAACACGAATTACTAATATAGTTTGTTCAAATTTAAATAACAATAGTTTCCATATATTATTTCAACCAGACTGTATTTGGATCAAAACAGTTTTTATCATACACTATTTTGATCAGTATTGTTTGGACCAAAATAACTATTTTTGTGAGATTTTAATGTCCTCGATGAGATTTTTAATTTTTTTTGGGGGGGAGATTTTTGTGAGATTTCACAATTTCTTTGATAAAAATATTATTTTCTTTTATATAGTCATAATTTTAATACATATCACCACAATACTGATTTGTTCATTAAAATAAAAGTATAATGTAACTTAGTGTAAAAACTCTTTAGGTGCTTAGGCACAGAACTACTGGCCTACTCACACTAGATTTCAACCAAGCTGAGCCTGCCCAGTGATCATAATGCCCAAATACTTAAACACTAGAGAGTAAAACAAATAAACAGCCACATAAACTTCCTCACTGTAAGGCTTCTGTAACCTTATCTACACCTTTCAACATCCCAAGACGATTTACATGATTTAATATGTGATATTATACAGTTCAGTCGCGTGTTCTCAAGTGGGCAGAATGACAACGTGAAGGTTGGCATTCACTTCCAGGGCTGAAGGTGTAGAAATGGGGTCACAGGCGTGTGTGTGGGACAGAATTAATGTTGCTACACACTGTCCTACCTTGTGGCCTCCTGTACAACTTCAGGGGAACATAAATTAAAACTCTAAAGAGCTTCTTTCTGGTTTTAGTCAGGTGGCAGCTGAGTGTAGAGGGCTTAACACAAAAATGGTGAAGCTGCTGGACCTCCAGTCTTCTCATTATGGGGATTGTGAAGCTCATCTTTTTTCTAAGGTGTTGGATGTCTGCTGATAAGAGATATTATTAATGAATCCTTGAAATACAGCTTTTTTCTTTCTGGTTTCATGTCCTGTAAGCTCAGAAATAGCTCACAACAAGCAGAAGAAAAATGTGAAACAAAATTAAATGAAGAGGTGGAAGCTGGAATGGCTTACAAATCTTATGGAAAAGGGAGATTTCCAATCTACAGAAATATGGAGAGTTGGCAGATGACACCAGTGAAAGTTGTGATGCCAGAAAACTCAGATCCAAGCAAATTGTTTTTGTGTCTCTGTGTGTGCTAGGCAAAGTTCAGTCTATTTGTATCCAGCAGTTAATGTTTTACTCAAAGAGGGCACCTTTAATGATTTGAACAGTTCTCTAATTAAGATATTAAGGCAATGGCACATGTAATTTGTGCCACTTAGTCAAACATGATCACAAGGACACAGGAGGTGTCATCAGGTTCTTCACGTAGTTCTGCTCCTTTCTGCTGAACTCAAGGCTAACCTTGGCCATCAATAACTCCAGCTCACTCCAGGGCACACTTAGCCCTCTTTTCCTACTAGTCAAAGTTCTGCTGTGGAAAGCAATAACAAATGGGCTGGGAAAGAGGCAGGTATTGAGGCATCAGCTGTATGGCAGGTGAGGAAAGTCCAGTTACAGACCAACGGCAGTATTAGATGCTTCCAAAGGAAAAGATCCTCAGAGACTTATCCAGGGGATGTTTGTGCCAGAAGGTAACCATACACATCCTATAAACAGAAATTATGTCCAACCCAACAGCTCCTGAATGTAATCCTGCTTATCTTCATCCTGACCCCATCCTGCCAGGCATGAGCGTCTAATTTAATTATTGTGCCCTATATGAGATAAGAATTGTTTTCCCTGTTTTTATAAACAAGATACCATCAAAATTGCAACTTGGCATGGCTCACTGGTAAGTTCAGTGTGTTGCCTCATGGAAAATTAAACAGTGGAAGCAACAACAAGGCCAAACCCTTTTCGGTGAGCAAATAGCCAGATCTCCCCATCAGGACAAGCAGCACAGGAGAGCAGCAAGGAAGGAAGGGGGATTGTGACCCACCTTCTCAAACTAATTGGCAGATGGGCATTTTTAAAGCCAGTTGAGGAGAGAGAAGGTGTAGGTGTACCTAGGGGCTTTTCTCCATCCCTTTCTGGACAGTCTGCTCAGGTCTCAGTTATTACCTATTCAGGTAATAACGTTCTTCACACTGAAGAACTTTATGTGACACAGTAAAATGGACTACTCATGATTTTAACTTAATGATATACCTGAAAATAGTCTTTTTTCTACCTTAAAGCCAAAGAAATGTAAATCAGGTTTCCATTCTTATGTTTATTCAATTAATAGAACAAAGATCTATTTCTATTCCTGATAAAATCTATACATTACATTCAGTAATACTCAGGAATGTAAAGATGGTAATATCCACTTATAGAGAGTAAATTTACTTGCTCTTCCTCAAGGCAAATGAACAACAGCCAAAATGGATGGGGGTGTGATTTTTTCCTTCCCACTGGCAGCTCTTCACTTCCTTAATTCTTCAGTCTAGTACTTTCTGGCCTCTACTATGGGCTGTGGAGCTCTTCTGCAGCGCTGCAGTGCCCTTTGGAATCACGGGAGGTTCTCAGGCTGTCATGGTGCAGATAATCTGCACTAGGGTACAGAACAGGACCACCCTGGAGCCAGTGGGGGCACCTTACCTGTCCCCCTTGTCTGCACACCCAGCTCTCTGCTAGCCCAGTGAAACTCTGGAACTGATTTTTCCTCAGGTCTGGGGCACCGAAGTTCAGACACAGAAAGGTCTTATGAGCGAGACGCGTTGTCCTGACAGCTTCAGTCGTCACGGAGAAATGTGCAGCTGGATTCAGGGTGCCCTGAATTATGGAGCTATTGGTTGTGTTGAACAAGAATTCAGGCTTGTACTTTTGAAAAGTTGCAATTAGGCTTGATGCCTCATTTGGGGCACGAAAGGCTGATTTGAGGAGGTGTCAAGGTAATCCTACTGCACCTACACGTGTTAGATAAGTGTTGTGTGTGCTCATCTCCTGGGTCCTAAGAATTTCGGCTTATACAGTTAAACTTTCCAAATGCCATGTAAGTTATATATATAAACTTAGATTAAAAAGAAATAAATCAGGGATTAGGAGTACTTTGAGATTGGGACATCAAAACGGAGCTGGTTTTACGGGGCTCAGTTTCAGGAGCATTGAACAGCAGCTAGAAGGCTCCTTTAGAGAATTTCAGTGTAGGCCACCAATTTTTTTTAACACCTAATAACTTTTACAGCATTGCAAATAAAATATGCTTCAGATTTCTTTCACCTCGACAGCTTCTACTTAAAAAAACAACAAAAAGTTAATAAACCTCAAAGGATCCATTTGAAAACCAGGAGTAAATAATTCATCATTGTCAATTGTGATGTTTTATATAGCACAATGCCTTTCTGAAGAAACTTTCCCTCGATGGCCACCATCTGGTGCAACTCCTGAGGGCAAGTTAGGGCTGTGTAAGAGATCTGCAGGGCCCCCTAAAACACTTCTGAGAAAAAATGAAAGTCTTATTCCAACAGACTCAAGAGAGCTCACAAACAAAGGAGCCATTCAAAGCTTTATCGCAGCTTGGAGTGAGGGTGTGAAGATATTGAGAAAACTATTTAAAAAAGAAAGTCTTTCTGTTGAGGAAGAATGCAAAAGGCAGGTTTCCCACAAGAAGGTAAGTTCAAGGAGCACTGTCTACTTGACATCCAGTCATTTTTCACTTATGAGTGAAAAGGCTTTCAGAATTTTCTCTCCTCCCGAACACCCTAATTTTCATGCCTAAAAGTGGTATTTTCTTTTCATGTAAATGCTTCTCTCTTTCTTGTGGTAAACAGAATAAACTGACAGACTGCTCTACTGGCACAAAAATATATGAAGTCAACAAACTGCAAAAGGAGGGAAATTGTCTTTCTTCCACTCTCCATCTGCTACAGGCAGCTGAAGAGTTACTTATAGCAACCGTAGATTAGGAAAAAAATGCACATTGCTATAGAAATTGCCAACAGTAGACTCACTTGGAGAGCTTGGCTTTATTTGTAGACATTTCCAAACATTATTTGTTCTTTTTTAGGGCCTGTTTCAAAATCCGTTGAAGCCAGAGACAAGACTTCCATTAATTTCAATGGCTTTGGAGCAGATTCCCAGAGGACAGCCTGTGGCACCCCCAGCTCTGGCATTTTTAGCAGTATGTCCATGTAGTCAAACTTCCAGTTGCAGAGGGAGAGCTGGATGATGCTACAGAACACTTTCCTCACAAAAGTGAGCCAAAGGCACCCACTGGGAATGCACAGGCTGTGTCACTAAGCCTGATATGTTTGAGTCTCCTCCATCACACCCGTGCTTGCAGGAATGGGCTGTGTTTCTCATATCTTGAAGGCCAAAGTAGGGGCTGGCTGCCAGCTTCTGCAGAGCCTGGCAAGTCAGCAGGGCCCCAGAAGAAGCAAAGACTCTGAAGAAAATGTCATGCAAATATACAGTGGCCAATGGACTGAACAGCAGGTGCCCCCAGCTCTGCCTGCTGCAGCAGCTTGGATGTAAAACGGTGGGGTTGGGGGTTCCCAAACTGATGCCTGGGAAGTTTTGTATGTGGCCCAAAAGGGATTCCTAAATTGTAGACATTCCCAACAGAACTAGCTGATAATCATAGTTACATGGTCTCTTCCAGTAAGGGGATGGGTGTCTAGGCCAGATCCATCAGATAATTAAAATATGGGTTGGCCTTCTCCTGAGCAGGGAAACCCAGTTGGAATAGTCACATCTCAGCTGCTCCATAAGCTCTCCCTATTAAGCAGTCATAAATTCATGTGGGATCTGCTCCAGTGGTTCCATAGCTGAAGTCTTGATTCGCAGGTGTGGTGAGAAAGAAAACATCCAGAACAGTGTCTATGGAGGCATCATAGTGCATTTTCTTCCCCTTTCCTCTCATCCCTCACAATTGTCCTACCCATTAAACACTTCCCCGTGAACTTTATCTTGAAAACCCTCTTCATAGTCCTGCTTTATCCAGCTGAGCAAGACAGCCACGAACTGGAGGTCCAGAAAGGTCTTGGGATTGAAGATCACTCTTAGATGTTTGACTGGATGCAGTGCACATACTTGACTTTGGCAGGAAGCTTTAGAGCTGGGGCTGCACTGGCACGGTGCAGGTGTGGGCATTGCCTTCAGCTCCCCGGTGCAACAACGCAGGAGGCATTTCTGCAATGCAGGAATCCATCCAACATCTCAGATTCCTGCACCTCTGGGATGCAGCAACTGGCTCACTGATCCATGGCTAAATATAAGTGCATGTTCTTTCAGTTTTGGGTTATGGTGCCATAAATTAGTAATAATGGCATCAAATCCAATGGAGTTAATGCCAAGGGCAGGAGGATCACGATAGCTACAGATCCTGCTTTGTGCTGTGTTTCTACTGAGGCTTTGTAAACCTGATGGGTATCTTTCATAAGGAAGCTGAGGTGCACTTAGGGATTTCAGCTCCCAAATGTTGCTGGGCTTGCTTCCTGAAGTCCATCAGCAGCCTTTGGAATGTGCACATAGGGCTCCCAAGTAGTTCTGATGATTAAGGCAATATTTTCATCTTTTCTAAAGCATTATTTTAACTTCAGGCCTTCTCCTCTACCTCCCAGCAGGTATAAATACTGTAGCTCTATGAAGTTGAGCAACTTAGCTTTTAAGGGATGACAGGAGGATTTCACTTGGGGTGTGGAATTCTAAGACACAACAGTTCAAAATGAAACTTTCTTGGAACAGCTGAGATTAACCTGCATATGTGTAAACAGGTGGGCAGGATGAATACGATTCAATAATGATAGACATTGCATTAGCATCCAAAAGAAGCACCTCAAACAACAATTGTTAAAAATAAAGCAATGCAAACCCATTAAATAGTTTTAAATTTTTTAAATTGTATCTAGAGGAGCAGTATGTGTTTTCTCATCTCATAACTCCTTGCTTTGCTCACTTTCCTCATTCTCCTCTCATTCCTATTATTGTATCTCTTTGTTGTTGTTATAAAGACCTCCAGCTTTAACATTTGCACAATGATGCCTTTGATAGAGGAGCTTTATCTCACTTCCCCACGTGTCCAACAGCAGCATATATCAACTTTATCCTGTCTGCTCATGAGGAAAGCAATGCTTTAATGTGTTCCCTTCAAACTGATCCCGCCTGGGATGTGACATTTGCACAATGGGCCTCACGAGGCTCTTGCAGTGGCTTAACACCAGCACCTGTTGTGTGTCTCCTCAGACACAATCACCATTAAATATTGCAAGCAACCTGTTCCATGCTCTGTTGCTGCTGCTGTGGGAAGCAGCAAAGGGGAGGAACGCTGATGACGTGACAGGGATGACATCTCAAGTTTTTGAAGAAGGCAGCAAAAGGAGTGGTGATGTGGTAAGCAGGACGAGTGCCACACAGGGCACTGAGCTGGGAATGTGGTTGGGGATTGCAGTTCTGGTTTCTCTTGCTGGATGCTTGGCTGGGGAGGAAGCAACTGATGATGAAGGAATCCCCTGCTCAAAGTACCAGCAAGCTTTCAACCGTTCCTGCTACGAGTTTGTGAGACTCCAGCAAACCTTCACAAGTGCCCAGAGCTGGTGTGAGAGAGGAGGAGGGCACCTTGTCTTTATTCAAAATGAGGAAACTCAAGAGTTTTTGCAAAAACATATTGCTGAGGATCAGGAGTGGTGGATAGGACTGATCTCAAACTCCTTGCAGAATGAAACTACTGACGGTAGGTGGTTTTAGAATCACATCTTTAAATCTGTATCAGCCCGTGATGCTTTCTTAACATGGTAGAAAATGCAATCAGTCCCTCTGTAGATATCTGCTGAGAAGCCTCTGTCTTTTGTTGCTGTATCTTCAGATCTATAGTAAGATGTTTTTAATTGCCTGCTTCACTTCCCAATTGCATATTATCCCCCTTTCCACTGGGTCTTGTGGTTGTGTGAACACATGGTTTATTAGATCAGCTGCTGAGCCAGTGAAACAAATGTGCTGGGTTAGGTCTCCAGTGGAAGAGCAGGCTGAGCCAATTCATCCCACGAGGAAGTGCTGCAAGGCCTGATGCAAGAGAAAGGGTGGAATCTTGAGGCTGGGATCACAGGACAAAGTGGCAGTGTCTGTTTTAATGATTGTATCAGGTTCAATATAAAATGTAATTGAAGATCCTTACCCAGACTAAACCACCTCTGCTTCAGTAGGAGCAGGGCTACAATCCTGCTCTGCAGGCTCTTAACTGAATTACTGTAGAAAATAAACATTCAGGACACACTTTCTTTGTTCACAGGGTCGATGATTTGGCTGGACACTTCAAATATAAGCTACACTAACTGGTACAAGGATCAGCCATCTTCCATCTCATCTACATGTGGGTACATCCTGAAGAATGCCAAGTATCAGTGGGGTGTGACTGAAAATTGCAGCCAGGAATTTGACTTCATTTGTGAGTTTGGTAAGATACACAAGAGCTGGAATAGCACAACTGGGCATAAATTGCCTTGTTGCTTTCAAAGTACCTGGGCAATAACTTCATCAATCTTATTAAATGCAAACAAGCAAAATATAACCCCAGCAGTTGCTCTTTTTCCAGTGTGCTGTTGTAAGACTTGATCCAAAGAAAGAAGAACCCAGAAATCATTGGGAGACGCAGGTGCTCAGCAACCCACTGTTGAGGTTCAGGGTGCCAGCAGAGGGCTCGTGAAGCAGAAATGGGTCTGAGAGTGAATCTCATGTGTAGCTGCCCATGACCATAGTGGACATCAGCTGGCTACTTCAAAGCATGGTTGCAAGAATAAACTCCCACATCCCCACAGCACCGGAGCGAGGTGGGACCTGTATGACTGCCCTGTAAAGACACTCTTGATCATAAATGTGTGCCAAAATAATTTCCATTTGTAACTGAAGCAAAAATACAGCCAGGCTTCCAGAGAAACCACTCCTGGCAGCCTGGAGTGAGCAAAAGTGAGAGCAGGTTTTTCCTGTTTCTTCCTAGACCCCTCCATCAGGTGAAGTTCAAGGGCATCCCCGGGTTAAGGAACCAGACAGGAACCTGTGCTTCCTGATGGCATTTTAGTGCTCAGGCAGAAAATCTACAGACACTGTGTCCCTTAGATTGTGACTTGGAACAAACAGTCCTGGAAAGGAATGCCTGCAATATCATCCCATTCAACATATAGATATGAGGGGAATTTGTGTTCCTCGCACTTTGCACATAAGTACTTTAAACTGTAACTAGAACCAAGGTCAGAAGCACTGGAAGGACAGTCTGGCTGTGGGCTCACTAATATAAAAAGACTTTGAATCAAGTGTGCAAGTACAGGTTTCCATAAGCCCTAGAAGTGCTGCTGCCCTGGTCCAGCACTCTTCTACTTCTGACATTAATACCAAGTTGTTCTGCAATAAGCAAAGCTAATAATGTTTTATTTCCTCTCCCGATTTTCTGTTCCACATCGCCTCCCTGCCCTCCTCCTCAACACTCCCAGTTCACTCCCAAATCCCCAGCATGTCCCACCTCTGCAAATACTTTTCATTCCCTCAGCTCCCTCCCCTGCAGCTCTGCAGCTGCCCCAGAGCTCCAGCTGTATGGGTTGGCCAGTGGAATCCCACATTGTGGAACAGATAAACAAGGTTATAATCCCTAGTCCTAATAGAGGTGATGATGTAGCTCTTTCTCTTCTCCCTAGCAATTGCTTTTCATGAAGTTTTAGGGTGTTTTGAGGTTTATATCAAATTTGGCTGAAGATGACTAACATTAAAAATGACTGGGGGAGAGGAAATTGGCAGACAGCACAATCCCTTAAGCTTATTTTCCTTGCAAAAACAGACTAAAATTATTTTTCCATTACAGCCACGGTAGACAACTGTCTGCTTGCAAGGAAACTATCATCTGTTACCATAGGATCTGACTTAGAGCCCATTAAATTCAAAGAGAGTTTGCATTATTGGGCAACAATATCCTACACTACATCCATCATTCCACTACCCAGGAAACCAGATTGTTGAGGCAATTATAGCCTTGTTTTCAGTATCTCCAGCCCACGTGCATTCACACATGAGTAAAAGAGTCCTCTTTTACCAGCTTTGCATGCAAGGAATTAGATCCAATATCCCAAAGAAATGGGAAATATTTTCATTAGCTTCTCTGGGTGATAAATGTTTGGAAATTCCCATAACTTGACAGTGCCTCAGTTTTTCTGTAAAATGGAGGTAGTGGTACTTCACAGCTTCACACATGGCTACTGTGAGCTTGGTGCTCACGAACACTGAAATGAATAGTGGCTCCATATAGTACCAATATTTGAATTTAATCTCTCTGATGCCTGGGAACTTGTCTACTTGATCATCTGAGCTAGGAATATGTGCACAATCAACTGACCAGACAGCGTTCTGTCTTCATCCTTTCTTTGCCCATCGACCTGAGCATTCTTTGTGTTTCTTATTATTTCAATTCTACCATTTGGTGCTCTGTGGGTTAGCAATTTATTGGAGTAAATATGTGTGTATTGAACCAGGGTCTGTACATAGGAATGCAAATCAGGTTTTGTGCACCTTTCAATGTAAAAGTTGCTGAGACAGCAAATACTGCAGGAAATCTTTACATAAAGTAAAGAACCAAAAAAATGCACGAGGTAATAGTCTGGACTAGAATTTACCAGCAAGTTATTTTTCAAGCTTATTTAGAGAGCTCTAATCTGTAAACTGATCATGTTGCTATAGTTACAGCCAGGCTTAGCCTTAGCCTTTAAATAACAATAGCACACAATTATTGCAGTGTGCACACACTGGCACAGTTAATAGAGGGACCTGAGGGGAATGATCCAAACAGCAACTGGAGGACAACTTATTTAAACCTGGGACAGCTGAAACAAAAACATTCTTTTACAACACTCCCATATGGGAGCAGTCTTTCACATCCTCCTCTTCAGGGTATTAAGTATCCTGATTACTACAGGATACTAAGAATTCTGACAGATAATTAACTGTCCTAGATTAATCAAAGAATGAGGTGTATGCATTTAGAGCTATGACCTTACTCATCTGAGCAGTCCTGCTGAATGAAGTCAGTCAAATATCACACAGGAACAAAGGTGTCTCTGTAGCAGAAATGGGATCATACTTAATATGCAAACTATTCTCCTCAGCAATTACCTGAAGATTATGCAAATCACACACCGCCACAAGGCTCTTTTGGAAGGAAAGAGTAACTTTAAACCTTCCAGTATTGCAAGTCAAAAAAATGCTAAGACTTTTCCTCCCAAAAAAGTTTACTTTTTAGATTAAAATATTTTTGTTTTTTGAAAATGTCCTCAATGTTTTGTTTAAGGCAGTTAAAACATAAATCTATTAATTTTGACTTTTAAAAAATAAAATTAGTTATTATTTGAGTGTTTGTGGGTTTTTTTTTTTCATTTTCTTAATTGTTTAGCTTAGAAGGGAGAAAAGGGAAGAAAGAGAAACAAAAAAAGAGGACATGCAGTACAACTGTAGCAGGATTTTTCAGAAATGCAAAAAGTTAGATTTTTTTTTTCCTTACTAGAATCTGGCCAGAGCATTGCTTGTGATAATTACAATGCCACTGTGCAGTGTGGATCTGGAGAAGTTATTCAAATTGGAGAGAGCTTCTATGGACGGAAGACCCCTCATTACTGTGTGTCTGAGACTCCACTCCAGGAGGATACAGATGAAGGCTGCAGCTGGATCAGTGTCAAAGATGAAGTAGCAGGTAATTTATGGCATTGCTTGTCAGAAACAGAGAGTATGTGCCAAAGTTCCTGGTCCCTGAAGTATTTTATCTTGTATTTCAGTGGAGTTTGTGAATGGGAAAGTGGATTATTCCTAAAATGAAGGGGATCACAGAGAACTGGCAGGGAGGAGGTTCCTACAGGAGGCTGGATGGAAAGGAGGGACTCTGGGAGGAACAAAGATTCAGAGAAGGGGAGGAGGAGCAAATGGAGAACAAGGGTGCACCTGGCTCCTCTCGCAGTGTGAAGAAAGTATGTGGGCACATTACTCCCTGACAAGCTCAATGGGAGATGCCAGGGTTGGCAGAGATGGGAGAGGACACATCCAGACAAACCCAACTCCAACCCAGGAGGGTTGACACCCTCAGGAACATGAGGGCAGGAGGGACCTGCTGCTCCCTTCCATGTGTGGAGCACCGACCCCGCTGGGGCCAAGGGCTCTGCTGCTTCCCAGACTAAACAGTGACTATGGCCCATCCCTGTGGGGATTCTTTGGGCTTTTTTACCTGCTCTAACTCACCTTTATTCCAGTAAAATAAAATGGTGCATTAAGCAACACACTGCAGCCAAAGTGATGTGGAAGTTTGTCTAGAACTCAGTGACATGGTACTGCTTCTCCTCTGCTTTTTGTTCCTCTGTTGTGACAGTCAAAGACAAAACCCACCAGTTGATATCAAGCTCTCCTTCTTTCCAGGCCAGTGTCACGGTCTCCAGGCCTGCCAGGTGACAGCAGATGGCACTTTCTTTGGAGATCCTTGTCCAGCTTGGGGAAGCTATTTGTCTATTCAATACCACTGCAAGGAAGGTAAGAGGGAGGGGGCTGGCAACACCAAAAGCCTGCCCTGCTCTGTGCTGGAACATTGTGACCATTGATATTTATCTTAAAAATCACTGCTCCATCCTCAGGGAAGAAACTGGAATAGCAGTGACCACTAAAAATAAGCATGAAAATGTAGATTCCCTGCCCTAACTGAGGGGTTTGGATAGAATACAAAGCTTGGAAATCCAGACACATAAAACACACTAGAATGAAATTATGTCCAACAGGAATCTTGACCAGTAGGTATGGAAAAGAATCAGCTCCCTGTCACACCACTAACACACACAAATCAGCAGCAGCATCAACTCTGTTTTGGAGCAGGCTGGCTCTCAATGCATGAAAATAAATTAAATTACATAAGAAATGCAGGCAAACACTGGCATGGAGTTCTTCATTCTGTTTTACAGGTCTGCAGCTGGTTGTGACAGATTCATGTTTTGTCTTTGAAAATATCACGGTCAGTCTGAACTGGCTGCTCTCACCATACTCTGGCAACCTGTCCTGTACCATCAGCACTGGAGATGGTCACACTATTGATCCTTACTACCCTCCAACGTAAGATATATCCTTCCTGTACCATCAGACAAACACTACATTTCAGTGCTTGCACTTTATTGAATGTTCCCAGTCTCGTAAATGATATGTTAAAAACTATGTAGATTAATAATAGGCCATAACTACAAGACACTTGGATCTGCAGAACCCTCTTTTGAAACTGCTACAAAATTTTATGTCAAGCTGCCAACCACAATATTTCTTCTGTTTATTATAACAAGTGTTTCCTAGTTCTAAGAGAATTTATTCCAGATCCTAAGGCTCAAAATTACTGAAAACATGTCAGTAATTGCCAAGGAACATGCAAACATTATTTTCTTAACTTTAAAGAGTATTTTTTGATAACATTTAAAATAGAACAAGGACATTCTGGACTTTTTTTTTTTTTTCAATTGCATAAAAATTCTATCTTTAAGAGATCAAACATTTTTTTGTTGGATTTAAAAATCAGATTCTGTCCAGGTGCTGGGAATGACAGAGAAGGGCTCTAGAAATTTATTTATCTACTGATGGAATCCTACTTGAGTAACTAGGAAAACAAAGAGTACAAGGATGAAAACCAAAAAGAATTAATTTACTAGAAACAGTAAACTTTCTTTCAGAGCTACAGACACAGGCCTGTAGCTGTAAAGAACCTGAAAAGAAAATATTTAATAGTGAGCCTTTATGTAAAATATATTTGCCAGCTGTAAGCAGAGGCTTGCTGCTTTTATGGGAAGCACTTCACCTACTAAATAGCTGACAGACATGCTCACCTGTGTTCTGTGTCCAGTCTGATACCCACTCTTACAGGAATTGCCTTTTTGGGTCTGATCTTGTCTTTGGCATGTTTTGGAAGTCCAGTTAGAGTGAAACCTGTTTCTTCATTCAAACACCTAATGAAAAATATGCATTATCAGGGGTGATATGTCCTGATCTTTGCATTTACTGGGTGATACCATGGTAAGAATCTCAGGAGTTCAGAGAGAAGAGTGTTGGGAATATTACTGCTTTGCCTTCCATGGTGTTTGTAATTCAGGAAGGGTATCCTTAGGCTCTTTGCACCATCTCCCTATGTGTGTTAGTGACCATAGCAACCCCCACAGCCATTCACCTCCCACTGCTATCCTGACTGGAGCTGCATCAGAGCCAGGAGTGAAGAGACATTTTTGTTGGCATGGGCAAGGCCAGAAGCAGCTGCACCTAAAACCTGCCATCTCCCTACTTGACAGCAAAATGTAGCAACCCTTACAGATGTGCTTTGGGAATGACCACCCTGACATACAGCCCTAATAACACCAGAGATGGAAGAAGGGGACAATCTTCAACCCCACAAATTCTATGCAAATAAACAAGGGATTACAGTGATTGCAGGATTGCTGAGCCAGGTCAGAAATTTGGGAATGTGACCAGTGGTACCATGTAGAGTGAAGGACTTCCCAGGACAGGCTGCCACAACAAGCAGCTGTTCTCTTTCTATTCCAGACTGGTCAGCAACATCACACACAGATACTCCTCTCCTGGAGAGTTCACTGTTTTTGTGGAATGCACCACCAGCGAATGGCACGTGATGGCACAGAGGCAGGTGACTGTCCAAGATAAGATGGATCAGCTGAGCATTACTGGGTGCTACAGCCAGTATGAAACTGGGAACAGCTCTCACTGCCGTGCACTGTATGGGGAGGTGTTGTGGATTCAGGTGGAACTCAATAGAGGTGAGGGTAATTTCTCTGCATAATTTCAAGGGCAGGATAAATATTATGCCACCCATGGGACAGAAGCAATATTTTCATTATGCAAAGCAATCCTTCTTTTTAGAGAATGCTTTCCCTCTCATTCCTGCAGCTGAATGCTCTCAGCTGCATTGCAGAGCTTCTTTCTCAGAGGTATTTCACCACCTAAAACATAAGTATGAATGATTTTTTCCTATTCACAAAGCTGACAGAGCATGAGCTCTGTCGGAGCACGAACTCTAACTTTAGTCACATAAATCCACAGAATGCCAGTCAGAATGTTCCTGTATTTGAAGTTAGAAATTCACAGAAATGCTTCTCTGATTGAGGGTAAGAGGATTCCATGCTGAGCTGGGCACATTTGCTGGTGTACATTTCTTTCTCACTTCACGTTTCTGGAAGCCACATTTATGCAGAAAAAATAAAATTCAGTAGTGTATGAATTCTCTTGGCTGCCCAAATAGTACCAGCAGGAAACACATGATAGATTTCCATAATGTCAGCTAAAGTGACTTTATGACTGCATTGCTGCAGTTCTTGTGACTCCTGCATAAATACTGGAGTGCTGCACAAAGCAGCTGGAATTGGTTGGCCTATTACACAAGCTGTGAGAAATTTCGGTGTGTGTTTTTGCAGGCAGTGGAGTGACCTACATTATGTTAGCAGATAACATAACACTGGCTGAATCCAGCATAAAGGAAGGAATTGCCCCTCATAACCTGACACTGGACAGTGCCTCTCAAGAGCTGCTAGGCCCAGGGATACATCAGCTGGAAATCCGAGCGTCCAGCAACACGACGGCGTCGGAGATCTCCGAGACTTTTGCTGTTCACTTAGTTGAGCCAATATCTGGCCTTCAGGCTGCATTGGCTTCCCACACTCTGCAGCTGGGGGAGAATTTGGAGGTGAATGTCTCTGTGTCTCGTGGTGCCCCAGCTGAGGTGACGTTTGAGGTGATGGGATCGAACGGAACTCACTCTCACACAGAGGATGGCCCTCGTGGGGAACCTCGGACGTACGTGGTTCCCCTGCACTCAGAAGGTACAGCACTGACACCTCCTGTGCTTCCCAAACACTCACAGCTGAGTGGAGCTCACAGAAAGGCTCACAGCATCCTGGGCTGGGGGACAAAAAAGTACAGCTGAATTTGGTGGCTTTTCTGACTGCTAAACTTGGTGTGCAGAGCAGTGCGAGCAGCACGGTCATGGTGACTTGTAAGGGAGCTGAAAGGCTTCACCTGAGCCTTGCAATGGCAAAGACACAGTAAAAAGACATAGGGTTTATTTTTTTATGACACAATCTGATTCAAGTACAAATGAGGACATTTTCCTGGATCACAAAGTGTTTTCCTCCTGTTTGTTCATATGTATAACATTTCAAGTTTAGACTCCTCTGCATTTTACACTGAAGTAATTAACAATCTGAGGAGTTCTCAGTAGAGATACAAAGAAAAGGGGAGCTTTTCTGTGTGCCCATTTCTAACATGTAGTTTTTGTTGGACTCAATTATGAACAAGCTTTTAAGTAATGTTTTCTTTCCATTACTAAGTAATCAAGGCCTTTAAAATGTGAAATTAAGGAGTTTGTACTTAGGAGTTAATTCAGTGGCAGAAGATAAAAAAATTCCATCCTCCAGTGAACTATTCCAATCCCGTGCCAAGGTTGGAACAGTAGAAGCTAATTATAATTTCATTTGATGTTTTAAAATTATTCAATATTAAAAGTTTTATTAGGTCTTCCTGTACCCATCTGAACATCCCATTCTTTGAGGCAGAAATTTTCAAACGAGACAGCTGCTCTCTCAAGATGCCTGAACTCATTTGGACTTCAATATTTTTACACCTCTAGTTTCCTGTGTGATAATACAAACAGCTGGCAAAGAACAGCATGGCAAGGGCTAGGACAAAGGCAGATGGCTTATCAGAAGTTGAGGTAAAGGAGAACATTCTTTGAAAAACCTTCCAGTAGAGGACACCTATCAGAAAACCCCCTGAAAACTCTTAACAGAAAAGAATAGGATTTTCTATCCAAATTGGATGTTATTCCCCAAACCTGATAGACTGGTCCCACTGCTACTCTTAACTGGCCATTTGTCTTCTCTAGGTATTTTCCTAGTGAAAGTGGTGGCCAAGAATGCCTTCTCAAACATGAGTCTGGATCTTGGATTCATCACTGTGTTGGCAAACACTTCCCATAAAAAAGGTAATGGCATTAATCTGACAGTGCTGGTTTTGACCACACTTTTTGCAGTCAGAGCCCTTAATGGAATATTTATGGTTTGCATCTAGTAATTGCTTTCCTTCCAGCAACAGTGCTGAAAACTTTTGTGGAGGCTTCTTCCTGATGAAGGCAGATTCCCTGACTTTGAAGTAGTCATAAATTAGCATCACCCTGTATATGCTACACATTGCTCATTTGCTCTTTGTCCTAGAAATAATTAGGGGAGTTTATGGCTCAGGACACAGCTTTGAAACCAGAAAATATTTGCATCACAGCAGTCTCATAATTGCTGTCAGTAAATGCTTCTAGATGGCTCATCCTCACATTTACAAAATCAGATTATACCAGGAACAAAGTAACCTTAGTTCTAATTGTATTGAAACTTCCCCAGTGCTTCCCCCCCATTTTTCTTTGTACAGCAATGAAACTCCATCACCTTCTGTGAATATATTTTGATTTACACCACTATGTTTGAAGAATCAGGATCATCTTCACAGTCTGTGATGAGCTTGTTGTTACAATTTTACCTATTTAACTTGACTGCTCTAGAGTCTGATTCTTACAGCCCTGTCTTTCACACTGTCAGTAGTCAAACCCTGTGGATTTAAGTCATCTTCACTGAGGATGTCTGAAAGCTTTACAGGTAGCACTAAAATATTCTGCTCTTTTTGGCATTAAACAGGTTCTGCTAAGGAAGAAGGCAGCTACAAAACAAATATCCAAAAGGCAACTGTAAGTATTATTCAAGGATCTTTCTTTAAAATGGAAATACATATAAATTTTTCTTGCCATTGAAAGTGCTGCATAAGACATTGGAGAGAAGTATTCATGTCTTAGTAGATTAGGGACTAGGTGTTCTGTGCCCCAAATGGTTTAACACAAAACCTACACCAAAAGTCTTGGAGGCAAATGTGTTTGCAGGCATTCAATCTACAAATCATAAAAAAATATTAGAGAAAACGAACTTTTCCCAGCAATTCAGTTTTGGAAGCTGAAATTTCTTTAGATTAATTTTTAATTAATCTACTTGGATATTGCAAACCTCTCCCTGAAGAGTGATCCTTCAAGCAGAATTTAATATATTTTTATATTGTTTCCAAGTGTTTTCCACTTCTGTATTGAAATGTATAAATTACTTAGCAACGAAAAAAAATCCAGTTTATGGCAAACTAAGAAGTTAAGGATACATCAATCGCTAGCAGCTGTCCAAATTGAAAGAATAAAAATGCCAGATTGAATATTTTATCATCTTAGAGGTCTAGTTTGTGACTGTAACTCTGGCAGACAGACATCTGCAACAGGAGATATGATGCTTCACAAGAAGGCATCGTGCTTTACAGATTGCCTGTAGGAATATATTGCATCAGAGGAATATAAATCTAATTCTAAACCAAGTTTATTACAGTTTGTTGCCCAGAAAGACAAAGTCAGCTACCTCCCTCTTCTCTTTATCTATAACTGTAATGTATCCAGTTCAGATAAAAGAGAGATGTACTAGAAGGTGCACTAGAAAACAAGTGGTTGTCCAAGGGTTAGAAGTCTTGCTCCAGATGTCAAGAATTAATAGGAATTAGTTTTCTGGGACCTGCATTCCCAAGCCACTTCTGCATTCAGGAGAATTTCAGCACACGATTTGTCTGTGCCATCGGCTTCTGTTCCCACAGCTTCTACTTCCACACTACCTCTGATCAGGGAAAGACCATTTAAACCACAGATCTTCATCCAGTCATTTGGGGTCTAAACTTTCCGATCTTTTTCATTATAAAGATTTGTGTGTGTTTATACACACTCCTGTCCTAACTGATACATTTATTATTATTTAGGATCACAAAAGAGAACCCAAAATCTATGTTAAACCAAGTCGCCACGTGGATCCTTTCACAACTGTTACACTTGGCTGGCCAGACAACAACAGGAATTCCAGTTTTCTCTGGTCCTGTGGTATGTGACTTTCCTGAACTTTTTTCACCAACTTCTATTTGATGAGTAACAAACTCACTGTCGTGTCAGATCAAGTGGTGAAAATCTGACTAAAAGATAGTTTGTTTTCTGGCTTTAAAGTTTGCCACTCACTGTACATGAAGAATGTCCTTGTACCTTACCCTGGTGTTAACACCAAACTAGTCATGGCATAATACTCAGCTTTGCCTTCTCCCAGAGGTTTCAATTTTTCAGGGTCTGCCTTTTCTAAGCTTTCACCCTCATAGTCAAGGATTAGACCCAAGTGACTTACATGGTTAGGCATTTGCAAGCTACATGTATCTCAATAAAACAGCAATTATTAGTATTAAACATGATGCAAAAACATTTCGGGCTGAAAATTGGATTAGGACATCTGTGTTCTGTCCCCATAATTATCCTTGACCTCATACATTACTTTGAAGAGGTCAACCTATACTCTGAACCCAGATTAACAACTCTATAAATTGGGTTCAGGAAACTTTTTTTGTTCTATCAAGCTCTTTAAAACCTATAGTAGGAAAGTCCTTTATAAGGTACTATTCTAATTATAAAGGAAATGTTTGTGCAGGAGCTTGCTGGCCTGCATGGAATGAATGTGTGCTGCAACAGATAATCCTAACCAACCAATCTGAGGTGCAAATCCCACCTTCCTGCCTTCCTCCTCCGAAATCAGCAGTGACTGTCAGGATTACAGTCCGAAACCACGGCAGTGAAGAGAGGCAGGACGAGCAGTGTCTCTATGTGACTGCAAAACAAGAACTGCAACTGGAAATCAGGTCTGTTTTTAAACCCCAGTATTCACTGGTTAATGTTATTACTGCAAGGCCACGTTTACCAATAATAGTGATAATAAAGTGATAATGTACTTTTAGAGTCATAGAATCACAGAATGATTTGGGTTGGAAGGGACTTTAAAGATCATCTTGTTCCACCTCTCTGGCATGGGCAGGGACACCTTCCACTAGACCAGGTTGCTCAGAGCTCCATCCAACCTGGCCTTGAGCACATCCATGGATGGGCCAGCCACAGCTTCTCTGGGCAACCTGTGCCAGGGCCTCACTGTCCTTAGAGTAAAGAAAACTTATTGTTGTAAATCCATTTACAGCTGTAAAAATGCTGTCTTGCTGTTTTCCAGTCCACATTTCTGAACATAATCCTTTTATTAAGTGAGTAATATTCTTCCCAAAACACTTTGACCCCCCTACATCCTTTCAATTTGGAGATTTCCATATGCAAACCTCATTGAAACAATGGGCATAATTGCCATATGTCTGAAATTTCTACTAGACATCTCATACAGTTACTACTTGTAAATCCCCTCTTACTTCCTTACAGGTGTGAGGCAAACTGCAAACCAGTGAATATTAGCAATGAAATTGTTTTGAGTGTCTCTGGACAGAAGGACTCCCAGGCCATACATTATAACTGGTATTTGGATAACACATCCCAAATCAAGGTGAGAGCACCAGATTTGTCAGGAATACTGCACACACAAAGATAAATGTCCACCCTGAGGGAAAGCCACAGAGGGACACTTTGTCAAGTGGACACTTTGAAAGTACGAGTGAAGATTGAGACAAGAGGGTGCCTGGTTTGGGAAGGGTTATAATGAAGGGCACCAAACTGCCACCCTGCTCCTGATAAATCACAACAGAAAGCAGAGCAAAGAGCCTTTTTGCTGTCCAGAAAACTGCCATGTTTTCTTTTCTGTCTGATTTTTCAGTCTACAACCCTCCCTCTGGCCTGTGGCCTGACTGGTTTCCGGCAGAACTCTTTGAATTTGCTTCAAAGCAACACATCCGTGTTGAGAATGAACAGCTCCTTCTTGCAGACACAGGGAGAAGCTTTTCAGATTAAAGTAACAGGTAGGGACAAGCAGGGTTTTAGGGCTTTTCAGACTCCTTTGAGATAATCTCTGCTGTCATGACATCACACTGACGTTACACACACATAGTCTCGCTGACAAACATGAAGGAAAATTAGTCCACAGGTTGAGAGCTGTTACTTTGTATGTGGGTTCTTTAGAATAATGCAGAGATGAGTTTTTTCTGGGCTGTTGCACAGCAGGACAGAATCAGTTATCTTACTCCAAGCTGTCAGTAACTTTAAGGCTCATCCAAAATGAAGCTATATTAACCTTGATCAAATAACACAGCTTTGCTTTATAATGCAAGCATTACCATATTTTTAATAGTTCTTTTCCTCTTATGGTTTGTTCAGTAGCAGGATTTCATTTCTAATTAGGCCCGGCCTGATGTTTGTGGTTCCTGGAGGAGCAGCAGCGTTGCTAAGTAGGCACAGTGAGTGCCCGGTGCTGCTGGGGCACGATCATTGCTGACGTTCTGCTCCCTCCGCTCCCAGCAGTGACTCAGCGCCGCTACGGGGAGGGGATGTACCTTGTCAGCACCGTGCCCCCGCCCGGCATCCCCGCCTGTGCCGTGTCTCCCGAGCAGGGATCCGTGCTCACCACCTTCAGAGTCTCCTGCAGCGCTCCCGGCTCGGTGGGTTCATCCCAACCCAGTCCCAACAGGCAGCTCACGTACTGCTTCTACCTGAAACCAAGTAAGTCCCCAGGTGAACTGTTTGGCTCCTGCACAGTTCCAGCAAGCACTGCTGCTTCACCGGCAAAAGCAAAGGTGTCACCTGCCCTCTCTGTGGGGAGACTGATCCCGACTCAGCCAGGCCTGCCCAGAGCAAGCCCGGAGTCCCCTGTTTGCAGAGAGCAGGAGGTGTCTGGCTGCTGTCTGGTAGGTCACCCCCTCTTTCCTCTTTCAGATTCTCTCCTGGACTGCAGCCCGGATCCTGAACTCTTCCCAGCCTATCTTCCACTTGGAGAAGAGGAAAATAATTTTATTGTACATGTGACAATCACTGTTAGCAACAGCTTTGGTGATACAGTTCAAACAAATGCTTCAGTGAAGGTACACAGTGGAATTACTTTTTTCAAGAACTCGCAAGATGATACCTAACCCATGATTCACTTTTGGAGCTTGTTCCTATTTTTGACATATCACTTCCTTCTGAATGTGCCATAATCACCATTTTCTTATCTAACAAAGACTATTCTCTGTGTGCTCAAGGCAGTCAGAAGTATCTTCCACTGTCCTTTTTCTAGGACAGAAGTTTAAAAGATGATCTGTTTGGACATTGGGGAGCATAAGATGTATTTAGTGAGTCTATTCTGTAGGCCCCAAAAAACTCCTGCTTCTTCCCCAGTGCCCCAGTAAGAAAATCCTTATCAGGCCATTAAAAATAAAACATTTAAAACTGGGAACATGAGGTTTTATGTCCCACTGTAGCTAGGCTGTCATCAAGATGATCGTGGAAGCTGTTCAAAGGTAATTATAACAGAGTTGGCAATGTTGAGAGCATATCTGATTTCTTCATCAGGTCAGACCTGCAGATGGGATGGATGGGAACCTGACCCTGCAGGGCATGGTATCTGAGAAGGCAAACACCATCCTAAAAGATGGGAACAACAGCATGAGCCTTTTCCAGCTGTACAAATCAGTGACATCTGTCCTTAACCAGCAGACCCAAGAGGAAAGCTTTAACATGTCTTTGCAGACAAATACACGAAAAGAGGTCAGCCAGACACTTGTTTTCTTGCAGTACAATGTCATATAATGGACTCTTCGTATTCTTTGACAACTCTTAAGTTATAAAAAGCTCACATATCACCACCTGAAATCAATGGAGGTTTCAAGTTTCTAGCATCTGTCTCAGTGTTTGGCGCAGCTTTCAGCTAGTTTCACTATTTGCCTACATAAATAATTTGTCTTACCACCCACCAGTAAAACAATTAATTCTCGTTATTGCATTAATTTAAAGTAGTTAACTTAACCCCAATTTTCCACAAACAATTTCAATATCATTAAAATGGCCTCTCCTGTGGGATAAATACCCTATCCAATTTTCCCCAAAAGTACTAGATGGCAGGTAATTTTCTCTTGGCCATTTCAGCTACCAGTTGACACTTCAGTTGTAAACTGATATTTGTACAGTGCTTCGAGTGCCTCAGATGAAAAGATCGAGAGAAACACAACATATCCTTCAATTATGATTCATTATTTGAATAACATCAATCACACATAGCTCTGCTTTCTCTGCAAGTGGCATTTACACAGTCATTCACATACATTAGTACAAATTCTCACAAGTAACTCTCCGTGCTCTTAATGGATGTGAAGCTTATGAATTCTCTGTGCTGGGAGGTAACATAAAATTCATGATTATACAATTACTGAGGCAAGTGGCATCTTGTCACTAGGCCTAATATCAGTTCAAATGATCCTTGTTGTAGAGTCTTACTCTACTTCATAATTTACAGCAAGCCTGGCTGTCAATATACAGCACTACTTGCACAGTCCTAATTAGTATCTTGTTCCTTTGCCTAATTATCCCTTTTCATCCCAAGCTCCGAGGGCTGATGCTGACAACTCTCTCTGCTGTTAATGTAACATCAATGCAGGCTGCTCTTAAGATGTCAGAGGTGTTGAAAGAAATCACTTCCAAGAGTGAAGAGCTGTCTGTCTCAGCACAGGTAAGACACAATTCATCTTCCATCTCCTCACACTAACAGTGGAGACTCTACTGCATCCCACTGACCTTGGAAGAGATTCGGTGCCTTACAGTTGTCTGCTCTTACCCATATTTTCAACTCTACCAGCATGTCTATTTTGACCAGGAGGGAATATATTTTGCTATTTAGAGTAAGAAAATTCCACTCTCAGATGTTGTCTCAGCAACCTCTGCAATCCAGGCTATGACCATTACATTTCTCATATATTTTTTAGATAGAAACCTTAATTTATAGTCAGAAACATGTTGCTTTATCTTGTAAAGCACTTTTAGAACCCTGAAGAAAAACTGTCCAGGAGGGGTTTTTCTAGAATTTCCCACATTCATTTGTCCCTGATCCAGGCACTGCCCAAAATGCACACAGGCAAGCTGTCAGTGAGGCAGAAACAGGGCAGCACCCAGAGCAACTGGGCACAAATGTGCAGATGGGTCTCACAAAAGTATCTCTTGAATCTTATCTGGCACCATGACATTATTAGCAGATGATGCTATTTAAGCTTAAGGTGTGAGCACATGGGAGGAGAGAACAAACTGTCACTGGGGAAGTTTCCCAAACATGCAGGCAATAAAAAGAGCTATTCTGATTTCTGATCTATTGTAGGGTTGGAGCCAGGCAACGGCTTGGGAGCATTTCAGCAGTATGTGGTTGACTTTGGCAAGACAAGAGCATAGCTCAGGTTCAGCCCTCACCCTGCAGTGAGGCTGCTTGGAGTTTGCAGGCTGTGGGAATGGATGTGTCCAAGCTTGCAATGAACTTGCCTGGCTCCCTCCCCATCCTGGGCTAAAAGCTGGCCAGTGCTTTCACAGTCACAAAGCAACCACTGGCTGCATTCAGGCACAAAATAAAAATTGTACAACTCATCCTGCTTTGGCACTTGGCACAAAGCCAAGGGTATCACTTGCTGGCAACTCAATAGGGTTTGTGGGAACTAAGATTGAAACATGGATGTGCTTGGCAATATACTGGTATTTTTTAGACAGACCACCCAAAAGTATAACCTAATTTACTACATTACTGTACATCCTAGCAGTATCTTTCCCCAGTGTTTGACAGACAAGCTTCCTTCAGATTTTTTTTACAGATGAAATCTGTAGAAACAGGTTGCATTTCTCAGGTCTGTATTTCATTTTAGTATAGCATCTAGTATATCATCTTTATTAGCATCAGAGGTATTATGCCAGCACAAATAATTATAGTAAAAACAGCCTTAGCCAGTAATAGTGCCATGAGATTACTGCTGTTGCAATATTCAGTAAATGACAGAAGTGTCTTCCCTGTCAGTTGTGGTACCAGCACATCTAAACTGCTCCCTGTGTTTTTCATGCAGGTGGAAGCCAGCAACACTCTGAAAGATGTCAGTGCTTCCTTGCTCACTGTAAACCCAGAGGACAGCAGAGATGATCAGAACTTAAAGGAAGCAGCCAACCATCTATTTAATGCAGTCAGCAACGTCCTTAAAGCTTCTGTAGAAATCAGAGCTGCAAACTCTTCAGTGCCAGAGGCAGAACAGGTAATTTTGGTTTGGCCCGGTTTGTACTGGACTGTGTGTGAACATGTTTGCTTTTGAGAGGAGCTCTGCTGCCTCTTGTGTTTTTAAATTGGCACTGGGAAGGGTTCATTGAGACACCACGATGGACTTGAATATGAGAAAAAACATTTCCCCACTTAGACCTGTTACACTGAACGTTTGCTAACGAAGGGGATAGAAGCCTCTAAAGATTTGTTAATTTAAAGCTGGACAGGACAGGGCACTGGAGCATCAGTGTATGACCTCTAATGGATGAGAAGCATGTGAAGATTTTTTTTCAGCTTTGGTTCTATCCCCTCCCTTTGCCCCTTAACTCAAGGAAGCCACAGGTATTCAGTATTCGTGATTGCCACCACTGGAATCAACTCTGGGTCCTGCTTTCACTTTTCCAGAAAGCCCACTCTGATGCAACATGTTTATTTTGTCCTACCTATCTAGATGTGAATTGATCTGAGTGCTCCCTGGGCTGAACATACTGTAATTTCATCACTGCAAGGGAATAGGGCATGAAATAAATCTAACCTAGAGAAAAGGTTATGAACTGGTCAAGCTCCCCCAAGATAACACACTACTAACACACAATTGATATGTAATTAGGTCTTGCTTTTCCAAGTACCCAGACACTAAAGAGTGCAGCTAAAGAGCATTAATGCACAGAAGTGCACGAATATATTGATTGATGTCATGTTTGCAGTGCTTCAAACATCAATGTGTAGAAGTTATAAATAATAAAACATAAAAGTAAAATCTGTAAGACATTTATTTGCTGTCTGCAGTGTTTCAACTGAGAAACTGAATTGCTGATAGAATAACTTTTTCTGAGATTAAGAAGCACATCACCAAGTTTGTCAGCTTTGGAAGACACTGAAATTTAAAGGAAGCAAAGACAAATGATGTGCAGCTTGATGATTCCAAGTACCTTTGTTGCAAGTTTCCTCCTCTAATCCTTTCCCAGATTTCGGTGTCACACCAGCTCCTGAGTACAGTGGAAAATCTCCAGAGTGCCCTCCTGTTTGGGAAAGCCCCGGATGATGAACCTACAGTGCTCACCACTCCTTCTGCCACAATGTACACGCACAGGTAACAGCTGTTAATCAAATTTGTTAATCAAATTTGCTCCAAATATTAATTCCATTGTGCTTAAATGGAACCACCCAACTAAATATTGTAGCACAATGACAACTTCAACAGTGCAATGAGGCTTCATTACTACCTGATAGTGAGAACAGCTTGGGTTCCAGTAACATCACCTTAGAATTTCTCATGCCATGTCTTCTTTAACCAGCAGAGAATTTACTACTATTTCCTGGGAGAGGCAGTAGTCACCTACCTTTGAAATGATGTAGAAAACTCATGTCATGCCAGTTAAGGGTTTCTTTTCTTTTCCAAGTTGCCAATAATGACATGTTATATAGAACTGTAACCAGCTTGGCAGAAGCAAATGTAATCCTGAGGAGCCTGACAAGCATTCTCCATTCCTGATAATCACCCCTAAATTGTTCCCCAAGAGCTTGGTTTTCATCCCCCTCACACTGTGCATTCAAACCAAGAGCACGTTCACACAGAAACCACGTATGTCTTTCACAGAAGCACACCTTGGGCACAACTTCCTCTCCAGATATGCCAATTCCACCCCTTTTTTGATGATTCCATGGCAGTGTTACGTGCAGTACTACGTCAGGGACAGATTATTGTACAAAGTATTTACTGGCAGAGTTAGAAATAGTTTTGCAACTACAATATACTTGTGAAAAGAGAAAGCTTTTTCTCTAGTTATGAAGACCATGTTATTAATGTTTGGTCTTTTTTTGGTGTGGTTTTTTTTTCCCCCTTTATTTTCTATTTCTTTTCTTATTTCTGTTTTATTCTGCTTTGTTGTGTCCAACCCTAACTGGACAGATTACAAACAGAAAACATGGATGGCACATCCATTAACATCTCCAATTCCAGCTCTGCCAGCTTTACTCTCCCACCTGCTTCCTCTCTCAGTGTTTCAGGACTTGATGATGAAACAGTGGATATAAGGGCAAGTAAACAGCTTTTATCTGACTCAGTCTGATATTCAACTTACACTCCTGATATAATGGTTTTAGAATCTTTTCTCCTTTTACAATGAACACACGAGCACACAAGTCATCCCTCCTGTCATGACAATAATTTGAAATATTTTTGGTCGAAGAAGTCTTCATTTATCTTAATTGCATGAGGTTGTTTCAGCAAGCTAAGGAGGACTGAAAGCTGAACTTCCCCATCCCATCATCCCCTCACATACACTTACACAGCCAGAGAAGGCAATGGAATGAATCAATACCTATAAATCTATTTGCTGTTTGTTTACACCTTATGCTCTGAGGAGGATGCAACAGCTCAGAGGCCGTGTCACATTCCAACTAAACTGCAGCAGCCCTCCTTCATCCCAGCTAGAAATACATGAGGCACTCAGATCCTGCAGGAGACAAATGTCCTGTAATAACACATTTCCTAATCTGAATTAGGACATGGTGTTTTTTTTCCTCAGAGCAATAGATAGTATGTAATTGTCATATTTTTATAATAAATTTTCTAAGGGCCTCTCTGCTTGATTTGGCCCTTTCCGGAGAGCCCCATAATACCTGCAATAATTTTTTTTTCATTGCATCTTTTCCAACTCTGCTAAAAAAGGGTTACAGAGTATGGAAAAAGTAAAGATTGTTGTACACGTCACTTTTCAGAATCAAAATAATTTTGAAGGTTTGTCTTGACTATCTTAGGGATAAGGTAGATTCTTATTTAGATCTGAGTGCAGACAAATCTTGAAAGTTCAGTTCTGTTTGGGTCTGAGCTCAACCTTTCACTCTTCAGAAATTTAGCGTAGGAATATAATGAAATATTGACAATATCTCAGTTGTCTGATTGTTAATGTTTTGCTGACAGATGGTGAGCTTTGCTGTGAACCCCTTTTTCTCCAGTGACACCAGTTTTGACATCAGTGGAACAGTGGGGGGTCTAAGTCTTACTGGTCTGGACGGCTTGATCATACCAGTCAGCAACCTCAAAGAGAACATTGAAGTAAATCCACTCTTTTCTATCCCTCTCCCTCTTTTCCCATTTTTTCCTTTCTCCATTAATGAACTGTCATTTGTGTTATCACCTTCTGTAAGGTGAAAACAAATGCTGCAGTGTAGATTACATTAGATAATGGGATGATGTTGTCTGCATTTGTGATGAGGGGATTTGTGTGATGTGATGAATGAAATAACAAATATTTCTGTCTTTTCTTAAAAAGGAGGTATCTTATCCTTCATTTAAATGGATGTAAGAATGAATGTTTTCAGAGGTTAGCTGACATTAGCAAGAAGATTACTTTGAAGCTGATATTTTTGCTGGCCCTGCTTTCCTGATGTTATGAACAAAGATAATCTAGCACGTGGCTGCATGCTAGGAGCAAAGTGCTTTGCTGTATTTAAACCTCTGTCTTTCTGTTTAAAAACAGATCATGTTACCAAGGCTTTCATCAACTCAGGAAGATAAGATTCTGTTGAATCTGGGCAATTATAGCACTTTCCAAGTCAATGTTACCTCAGAAAACACATCTATAGTGATCTACCTGGAATCTGAACACAACATTCCACTAATACTCCACTTGGGGTACGGTTATCACCCAAATGAGACTAATTATGATATGAGAAAACATCTGTTCTCTAAGAAAGCTGCTGGAGGTAAGATAATGTTTAGTGACCCATGAACTTGCAGAGTGAGCCTTGCCCATGAGTTCAGATGTCCAGCTGGAAAGAAACCTCTCACAGGAGTTTCAGTCTGTCGTGCTTCAGGGTTCCAGTCTCTAGTGTGCAGTGTTCACCAACAGGAGAAAGGAGTGGGCTGCTTTGAACAACGAGTTGCTAAGAATTATTTCATATCTGTTTCTTTGGTTTATTTATTACATGCAATACAGCTGCATACTTCTGAATTAGCATTTCTCCATGCATTGAAACGAAAATGTTTGTCTTCAAGGTGAGACAAACACCTGGGTTCTTAGCCCGGAAGAACTCATTTTTGGAGAAGGAACCTACTATTTCATGGTTTTGCAAGATATGGGAATGGATTCCAAAGTCTATGCTGGGCTAACCATAGGTGTCACTTGCTTTGCATCCCGCTGTGTATTTTGGGATGAGCGCCAGGGGAGCTGGAACAGCTATGGATGTCATGTAAGTCGAGCAAAACAAAGCAGTGTTTCTGTTACACACTTCAAAGCCAGCCCTTATAACCACCACCTTGTAGTAAATTGATAGCACTGAACTCACACCTTAAAACAAGATCATTCTGAGATGTTTTAATCAATTGAAGAAGTTTAGTCCTATTGAACTAAGCTTCAAATGACATTTCCATTTCTATTTCTTGGGATGAACTTCCAAGAAGAAATGAAAAATTTTGACAAGGCCATATTATGTTATAATGCCTGTTACTGGCTACATATTAATGTTCCTTATTGGAATTTGAACTATTCTTTTGGGTACAGCAGTTCTCTGCACTAACTCACCAATCTCAGCACTGTCTTTTCATTTGCTTGGTAAGTCATCTAATATTTTAAAGCCAAATGTTTTATTGGGATTTTTTTTTTTGTGGGTTTCAGGTAGGACCAAAAACAAATCCTAGAAGCACACAGTGCCTGTGCAACCATCTGACTTTCTTTGGGAGCTCCTTCCTTGTCATCCCCAATGCCATAGATGTCAGCAAAACTGCACAGCTATTTGGTACATTTGTGGACAATCCTGTGGTGGTGACAACTGTAGGATGCATCTTTCTGATATATGTGCTCGTAGTTATTTGGGCTCGAAGGAAAGACATTCAGGATGATGCCAAAGTAAGTCTTCAGCTAATAAAGACTGAATGTATTTAGGCCAATTCCCACCATACCAAGGCTCTGTTAATAGGAAGTCTTTAACTTATTCTGTAAACGTTGTTCACAGGATGACAAATTCCTGCTCACAGCTTTCAGGAATCCACACTTCCAGACCAGCTGACACACTGCTTGTGCTGTGTTGCTCTGCAGGTGAAAATCACAGTCCTGGAAGACAATGACCCCTTTGCTCAGTATCGGTACCTGGTGACAGTTTTCACAGGACACCGCCGTGGCGCAGCCACAACCTCCAAGGTATTCCTGGCACTGTGTGGGGGAACAGTTTGTGCACCCATTTAGGGAACTGGATGAACAATGGAATGCCTGAGGCTGTTAAACAGGACAGCTCAAATACACCATCTAAGCCAGAAAGTCCTTAGCTTTGATGGAAGCTGGAGGAGTATTCCAGAGGAATAATCGTACGTAGAACCGGGATGTGCAAATCTTCATTGTGCCATCTTATTTTCCAGGTGACTCTCACCCTCTGTGGAATGGAAGGAGAGAGTGAGCCCCACCATCTAACTGATCCTGATACACCTGTGTTTGAACGTGGAGGAGTGGATGTTTTCCTTCTCTGTACCTTCTTCCCTCTTGGGGAACTGCAGAGTATTAGACTGTGGCATGATAACTCAGGGGACAGCCCGTCCTGGTAAGTGGAGATCTGAAGATCCACAAATTTTTCTTTATAATGATAACAGTTTTCCTTTTCTAGCACTTGAGAATTATCCTTCCTAAAGTTCTAGAAAGAAAAGAAGTGTTAGTTTCTCATTTTTGCTGGTGAATAGGTCAAATCATAATCTAAACTGCAGGACCAGGAGTGCTTCCCATATCCCATGTCCAGTATAGGATGGGATGTGTTCTGTGCCTTACAGTTTAGACACACCCTAAGAAGCCAAAGGCCAGAGTTTGTCCTCCAGAAGTTCTGTCCAGTTCTGAATTTCACATGTGATTGTGCCCTGTATGTTTTTCCAACAGGTATGTGAATCGGGTATTAGTCCATGATCTGGCATGGGATCAGAAATGGTACTTCCTCTGTAACTCCTGGCTAGCCATTGATATTGGAGAATGTGTCCTAGATAAAGTGTTCCCGGTAGCTACAGAACAGGACATGAAGCAGTTCAGGTACCTTTTATTTTATGGACATTTTTAATCTTGATAGCAATCAATCTAGAAGAACAAGCATGAAAAAGAAAGACCAAACCCCTAGACAAATGTCTTTCTAGTGCTCTGAAAGGGCTCTGAACAAGGAAAAGAGAAAGGATACAGTAATACCACACTGGAAATATTGGTGTTAAAGAAGGATAGCCTGACAAGACCTACAGAAACCCAACATCTTCTCTTATGTGTAATTTCCTTAACAATTTAAATAGAAACTGCTCATGATTCACTTTCCCTCCATGGTGTGGGCAAAAGGAAAGGACATAAGTAGCTATGACCCACTCCATGCAAATCAAACCACAATATTTGGTAATTTCTCAACGTTATTATTCCTTCTGACAGTACCTACAAGCATGATCAGGTCAGGACACTGAACTACAGTTTTATTCTTTCCTCTCCTTTCTAAGCATCCATTTGATTTCCCTCTCCTTCTTCCCAGCAATCTGTTTTTCATGAAGACCTCCAGGGATTTCCAGGACGGGCACATCTGGTACTCTGTTTTCAGCCGCTCCCCACGAAGCTCCTTCACGCGCGCCCAGCGCGTGTCGTGTTGCTTCTCCCTGCTGCTGTGCACCATGCTGACCAGCATCATGTTCTGGGGTGTGCCAAAGGATCCAGCTGAGCAGAAAATGGATCTGGGTAACAAACCTCACCATTGCTTGGCCAGGGAAATAGAGAGACAGCAGAATATAGAAGCAGGAGAGTTGAACAAATGGGGTTTTTCACAAGATAAACCGGATGGTTTATTTTTCATGGGGTTTTTTTTCCTCCTCCCCTCTGTTTGACCTTGACAGGTAAGATCGAGTTCACATGGCAGGAAGTGATGATTGGCTTTGAGAGCTCCCTCCTCATGTTCCCCATCAACCTGCTCATTGTGCAGATCTTCAGAAACACACGACCCCGGCCAGCCAAGGAGGGGAGACAGAGGAAGCCGGGGAAGAATGGCCGAGTGTCCCCAAGCGTACCCCTCACCCCAGAGGTCACCCAGGCTGCCTCGCTCACTCCAGAGGCTGTGACAAAGGCAAGTCCCTGCGAGTCCTGCACTGCCCTCTGGTGCCACGCACTACCGGCTACCCTGGCTCCACAGCACAAACGTTCCCTGTCAATGCCCTTCAGCCAGTCTGAAGAGAAAAGCCAATTGCCACGGGTGCAAAGCTCTCATTTGCCCACCTAAATGCCATCCACGACTTTGTTAAGAGCTGCCTTTGTACGTCCCAGCCCTTGCACAATTACTGGGCAACCAAATCACTGTGTTCAGGGGTAAAGCAAACACTAAGCAAGACAGTGAAGATGAAAGGCATCACAGACCCCATCTTTCTCAGCTTAGGTCCCCAGGCAGGTAAGCTGTCCTTTTGAACCCTGAAAGCCGTCTTACTGAACTCACTGAAACCTGCTCGTCACATCCAGCAGTGTAGGATGTGCTATTCTTATCCATTCTGGAGATTTTAGCAATCGGTGCAGCTCCCAGCCAGTGGTGCTGTCAGATCACATCAGCTTAAGCCACTGCAGCCAGAGTCACTGCTGTGTTGCTCTGTCTTCCCTAGGACATAAGAAGAATTGCCAACTCACTCTTGAAAGTCCTGAAGACTGCACCTCTCACCTCAGCATCAGATCTTGGAAAAGCAACAAACATCAACTCGCTTCTGTCATTGGTTGAGGACATCATCTGCCAGCAGAACAGAGCTGGGCAAGGGTTTTATGATGGCAGCAAGAAGGATGGCCCTATAATTGTCACTTTAGGTTCTATGGATGTGCAAGGTACACAACAGACTGTGAAATGCCCTCTGAAGCCTTTGCAGTGAAAATGATGACCGCACTGGATGGGATGACCCAAGCTCTTCTTACATTCTGACTCAGAGGCAGTTACAGAATTACAGAGCAGCTGAGGTTAGAAGGGATCTCTAGATCCCACCACTCTGCTCAGAGCAGGGTCAGCTGGGGAAGGATTGCCCAAGATCAAATCCAGTCAGGTTTGAATGTCTCCAAGGGCGGAGATTCAGCAAATTCTCTGATCAACCTACTCCAGTGTCCAAGAGTCCTCACAATACTCTCCTGTTCAGAAAGAATTTCCCATGTTTTAATTTGTGCCCATTGCCTCTTGTCCTTTCACTGTGCACAACGGAGCACCCACTGAGTAAAGACAACTGTGAAATCTCTATTTCTTACACTGTAGAATTAAATATTTGCTACCAGTCTGACTTGGGAGCAGGATCAGTATCCACCAGCACAAAGACTCACGAATATCAGTTGTTTCACAGCTTTTTAACCTTTTTTTTTCCTCTTGGCCTTATGCTGTTGTTCCTTTCAGTTTGACTCTCAACTCAGGCATTTATTTATCTTCAATTAAACAAGAATATATGAGTAAACAATCTAACTGATTTCATTGAGACTTATATTTGTCTTTTCCAATGAGTCTACCAAGCTAATTGCACAGGGAAACTATGAACAAATTAACAGTTGATCTGACTTCTCTATTAAGGTTTTAGAACCTGTTTAAGTTGCCCTCTGGCAACAATTCCAGCAGTAGAGTATTAAGCTCTAGTACTAAAGCTGGTTTTACACATCCCTTGACATGTTACTCTTCACTCTGTCACATTCATAATCCTTAGCTCCAGTTCTACTACCCTTTGTACTGAACACTATTTTAATCTAGGCATAGTTTTTCTCAATAAGTAAATAAATAATTCTTTGCCTGCAGAAAAAACAAGAAGCCCAAGTCCAGAGAAGAGAATTTGTGAGCGACCGAAATACAGTGATTACAGTCGCTGCTTGTACACACAACTCCAGCATGTGGAGATGGAGCTGGAATTACTGGGGCCCCATAAATTCCAGGTGCCTCAGAGTTACACACAAGCTGTTCATCAGGTTCAGCACATGAAGAACCTCCTGGAGCCCCGAATGTGCTCGTCAGCATCCACCAGTGAGGGGTAACCTGGTTCTCATCTCACTCTCAGACTAAGTAAATTCATGAGTTCAAAATGGGTCAGGATGGCAGAACCCAAATAATTACTGCTTAATATGTGCTAGATGACTATTATTATAGCTGTAAAAATAAGTCTTACTATTATACCATTGTAGAAAAGAAATTTCCACGCACTGTGAACTGCACACAAAGGCAATAATGACAGATCATTGTTCTTTGTTATTTTTGCCTCCAAAATGGAAAGTTACAACACAATGCCACATGGTAGTAAAGGGCTGGGATAATCACCAAGCTCCAAAGTCACAGAAGTCTCTTAAAATGTATGGATAAAGAAAAATTAATAAGCAGACAAAAATAGTGCAGTGAAATATGATAATTAAATTGGAAGAATCAAAAACAATTGCTCTAATTATCTCCCTGGCCTTTATGCTGATCACAAGAGACACATCCAGCAGCTTAAATACACTCATGGTTTTCTTTGTCAATAGTTCTGCTGGAGGTTCAATTATGCATAAACTGAGGAGTAAATAAGCCCATCATATTTATTTTGATTTTAGCTGATCTCTGCACACTTCCTCGCATTTTTGCTCACCGTACTTTTTGCTATCCATATATCCTACATAGCTGCATTAGTTAAAAGAAGTCAGAATATTTTGATTGAGGTTTTAAATCCTAAGATGTTGCCTGTTCCCAGTGAACTTGATGGTTGTGATTTTGGTTCCTGTTCTACCACAGACTGATGTTTTCTCTTCTGGTTGACTCTCAAGGTGGTCCCTTACTCCAAACTTCTCCGGTGATGACAAGAAGAATGTTTCTTCCAAAGGACTGCCCTGGTGGTTTGTGTTCATCGGGTGGTTCCTGGTGGCAGCCACCAGTGGTGTGTCCGGGTTCTTTACCATGCTCTATGGGCTGCACTATGGCAAGGAGAACTCCATCAAGTGGCTGATCTCCATGGTCATCTCCTTCTTGGAAAGTCTTTTCATCACACAGCCCTTAAAGGTGAGATCCTCAGAAATACAACCACTGGCCAAGATCAACTCATCTACTACCATTGCAGGAAGACAGTTCTAAAGAACCACAGGATCTAAGGTATAAAATGAGAGGCCTTTGCCCTTAACAAAGAGTTAGCAGCTGGTTTGCAGAGTTCTGGTGTCTTTTGCTGACATTACCTCCATTAGTTTCATCTCCCTTTTTTCAAATAAGTGTTTAATAGGTGTTTAATAGGGGTTTAATAGGTGATGAGGTTTCTGAGCAGGGAAGATGTGTCACTGTGCACTGTTCTCTCATTGAAGGGCTTCAGCTGCAGGAGTTCAACAGTCAGAGAGCAGTTGTTCTCTGCAGTGCCTGGGTCCAAAGGGATCAGTGGCCTGCAGTTCTTTATATGAAATGGGCATAGGGTGAGTTATAGCTGATTCTTTCCAGGTGCTGGGATTTGCTGCTTTTTTTGCTCTGGTTCTGAAGAAGGTGGAACACGAGGATGTAGAAAACCCAGCTATTGATGGGCCTTTATCTGCACCAGGTAAGTGCTGGTAAAGTGAGATATTTTTAAAGAAAGTGCAGCATTCTCAAGCTTTTGGAGTGCTTTATGCATGAATGTGTGACTCAGCTCAGCTGAGAACTTCACTGGTTATCTTTACATACCTGAATCTTAGCTGTCAGTGTTAGCAGAAATCACTAAATCCACAGGCATTATGACTACCTACCTACCCATTAGCATTCCCAAGATCAAGTGGAAGTGAAAACAAACCTAAATAACTGATTTTGTGTCAGCTGCAGAAAAAAATAAAGACCACTGTATGTATAGGTTGGATAAATCCTGCAGAACGGTTTCCTAAGGGAAAGCAATAAATAGAAATGTTTCCTTTGAATGTCCAAAGAAACAAAAAGCAGGACATGGATGATCTGTTTACTAATCCCAGGGTTTACTGCTCTCCCTCTCAGGTGATTCACACCCTCTCTTTGGAGCCCGAAGGGACAGTAGAAGCAACATTTATCGGCCACCTCCTGCAGCTGATGTGGAAAAAATGAAAATCAGCTGCATGAAGGAGCAGAAAGCATTTGCCCTCATCCGAGAAATCCTGGGTATCCATACCTAGATTACTTGCTTTATTCAGTAGTACTCTTCAGTACTTTTACAGCAGGGAAAATATTGTTCTCTTGGGTGACAAAGTTTTGGCACATCTTCAGCTTTCTGCCAGCCATCGTGATGTAGAGACAGGCTGTTCTGTGGCAGCTGGAGCTGCAAGGAGGTGGGAATGTTAGCTGGAGGTAGAAGTGTGGCTAAGTCTTGATTTTATGGTAAAGAAACACGTCAGACACATGAGAGGTTAAAACAAAAATAGGATAGAATGAGGAGATCAACAGTTAAATGAAACTGAAGTCAAAGAGCAGAGAAAGGACATCTTTCTAAAAGCAGTAGTATCTATAGATCATGATTTATACTCTTGTTGTATTTCCTCTGAAATCAATGGCAAAAATTACCTCAACTTCACTGGGAACAAAGTTAGACTACTCATTTTATTTAGAGCTGTTGAACTGCTGTTCAGCCTTCCCTCTTGCTTTCTTGACTGCTGCTCACATTCCAGTTGTGAAACAGTTAAACTGCAGCAGCTTGTGCACATTTACTAGCACTGGTCACTCAGAGTCTACAAAGCACCTCCTTGGCCTGACAGGTGCTGACAGCAGTAACCATTCCTGCAGTGTGTTTTGAACAGCATTGTTAATTCAGATCTCATTGTTAATTCTGTCTCTTCCTGGTTTTTTTTCCCAGCCTATATTGGGTTTTTATGGATGCTGTTACTGGTTGCCTATGGGCAGAGAGATCCCAATTCCTACTATTTGAACAAACACATTGAGGACAGCTTTACAGCTGGATTCCACGATGTCTACAGTTACCAGGATTTCTTCACGTGGGCAAACACCACCTTACTCAAAAACCTTTATGGATCATATAAAGGTGCAGAGTCACATTGTTTCCCATCAGCTTGCCAGATTGTGAAGCATAATCTTTTATACATATCCCTAACTTTCACATGCATATTTGAGTGGAGAAAGAGATGTCAGAGTACAAGGCTAGCATGAATTCTTATAATATGATAATATGAATACTAGTGGATAACAAAACCCCCACAGCTTGATTACAGGTCAAATGTGCCCTGATATTTTCCTTGCATTTAATATAAACCAAAAATTCTGTACTATAATGCTATATTTTTCACATTTTACATTAGGTACTGCAGACATTCAGATATATGCCTCAGTTCTACACAAGCTGCTTTCCATAACCCAGAAAAGAGAACGGCAGACAGGTGGCACCATAAAGCTTTTCTCAGGAGAGTTGTTTGCATCAGGGCTTGGGTCAATGTGAAGGCAAATTATGCAATATCACCATGTTTTCTCTATGTAGCCACATGCAGAAAAATCTGACCCGTTTTCCAGCTCACACTTAAGGGTAAATACTGAACTACATTAGCAGAATTGTTCTTTGGACATGACAGGCCACAGGAACACTGCATAAAGCTATTCTGCTGTGGGAGTCAAAGTGAGTCACTTTTCTCCCCCCAGCCTCATTTTTCTTCTGTATAAAATACAGATGGGTAGTGATACTGAACTCTGGTTTTATGGATGTTCTTTAAGAACTCAGTTCCAATCAACATGAGGGTTTCATTTCCATGACTATTTTGCTTACAGTGTTTCTGAGAAAAGAATATATAGCAAAATATTAACGCATCAGTGAACCATAAACGAAATGAAGAAATATTATTAGTTCTGCCATGTTGCCAGTGCTGCTCTTTTCCATCTCCTGTTTAGGATTCATTACAGATGGCAATTCCAAGCTGGTGGGGAGTGCTCGAATTCGCCAAGTAAGAGTGAAAGGAGACACCTGCCCTATTTCTCCCAAACTCCAGCATGTAGTTGAGGAATGCCATGCTCCATACTCCCTGCAGACAGAAGATACAGCAGTTTATGGGGAACACTGGAATTCTTCAGTCTTTGATAACTCCTCTGACCTGAGCTCAGCATGGCAGTATCAGAGTCAGTCCAAACTGAGAGGGCAGCCCAGCTGGGGTAAACTGGCCACCTACAGTGGAGGGGGATACGTGATTCACCTGGGAACTGATCCTGGGAATGCCTCCAGGTACCACTTGTATTCCTGTAAGTTATCAGTGTCTCCTCCCTGGGATACTGTCTCTATCCTGGATGAGTTGGATCACTGGCTTTACATTTTTTTGGCAGAATTCTCCAATACCTTTTCAACAATGTCTGGCTGGACACCTTCACCAGAGCAGTGTTTGTTGAATTTACAGTCTACAATGCCAATGTGAACCTGTTCTGCATTATAAGCCTGATGTTTGAGAGCAATGCTTTGGGTGAGTACATTTTTTAAGTTACACATTTGTAAAGACAGCAAGCAGTGCACCTATAGAAGATGGATTTATATGTTGTCAGTGTGCTCCTAGTTCTTTATTCAGTAAACAGAAGGGTTTTAATAAATCTAATCATGACAGTATCAATGCAAATTATATAAATCATTAAGGAAAAATGCAGCATCACAGTAATACTGACCAAAATGGAACATCTTATGTTTGCTTATGCTGTGGTCACCTGCTGATGAAGAAAACATGGCACTGAAACTTATCCTCCAGAATTTATAGAAGAACAAGAAAAAATTATGTTTTCTAATCTCTTCAGCTAATCAATACAATATTAAGACAAAAAGTACAAATAACAGTCTGTCTTTTTTGTTCCAGATGACTTCCAGTATATTGCTGTGTAATCATATAATACATAACCTGGATACAACAAAGAGAACAGAGAAACCATATTCTGGTTTAAAGGCCATAAAAAAAAAACATTTGGTCTGGGAGCAGACTCCCTCAGGTCTGGCCTGGGCTGGAAAATGCCAAAACTGACTGCAAAACTGAGCTCATGTTCCTTTTAGAACAAGATTCAGCTTTACATCTCCAAGTCCTCCTGCTACAGTCCTGCATTTGCAGTCCAATCCAAACTCAGCCCTGCTGGGATTAGTGTTGTGCTATGACACAAGACAGCACTACCACTCTGAAAGCCACTGACTGCCTGAAATGCCTATTTGAGGAAAATGTCAAAGAACACTTACAAGGTTACTCATATAATCCAGTCTAAACCTCAGTTTGATAGTTGGAGTCAGGCTCACATTGATGTGAAAGCAAGTAGAGAAGTCTGACTGGTGAACTGAGTGTTGGAATGAGAACAGAGAGGTGTGACTGTCAGAGCCCTGAGGTGACCCCTGTTTGTGTTTCAGGGGCCTTCTTCACAAGTGCAGAGCTGCAGAGTGTCCGGCTTTACCCCTACACCAACAGCCTCCACATCTTTGTGGTTGCAGCAGAAGGGATTTATTTCCTCTTTATTGTGTACTACATGATAGTACAGGTGAGGCCAGTGGAAAGTTCAGCATCACCTTGTGTCTGGGGTGGATTTCACTTACAAAAACTTTGTGACTGTGTTTGATTTCAGAAGCACCACTGTTGCCACACCAATGGAAGATTAAATCCCATAATGGAAGGCAACACTTGATTTGGCTGGAATGCTTCTTTTGAGAAAGATAATGAGTAATCAGTGCAAGCTGTAGTTTTATTGACGCACAGTAGTCTGTTTTATTGCAGAGGGAATTGCCCTAATCTTTAGAGGTATTATATGATCTGGAGTCATGAGACTGAGACAGTAAAACTCCTCTTTTCACAGGGGAAACTGATGAAGAGTCTGAGATGGAGATATTTCCACAGCAAGTGGAATCTCCTGGAGATGGCCATTATATTGATTAGCTGGAGTGCTCTGTCAGTGTTTGTGAAGAGGACAATCCTTGGGACCCGGGACATCAGTTACTACCAGGAACACAAAGAGAAGTATGTACTAATGCTATTTAATGCATCCTTTGTTGTTGCTACTTATGCAGAAATAAATCTATTTTTCCCCTTCCCAGACAGCAGCTTGTCTGTGCTAGAAACTGCTATCCCATATGAGTATATTCATGAAGCCTGTAAGTGTTTCAGGGCTTAGATTTGTGTCAGCAATAGGATTTTCTTCTGATACCTCTCTAATAAAATCCAGCAGACTTGAGCACTAAGTTTCCCTTTCTAGCTGCTAATTTCCTGTCTGCATCACCCTCTTGTGAACCAACGAGCCTTTCTGCCACAGGACATCCACCCAGAAGCACATAATCTGCCTTGTTCTTTGTTGTAAAAAGCCATTGGTTAGGGGACAATAATGTCTTATTTAGTACAGAATAGGAAATTATAACATCTGTTAAAATACAGTCACACAGGACAGAAGTGACAGGATCACAGGATGATTTAGGAAGGAAAGGACCTCTGAAGGCTTCTGTTCCAACCCCCTCTTTTGGTGTTAGATCAGGTTGCTTGGGGTCTTGTTTGGTTGAGTTTTGAGTATCTCCAAGGACAGAGGTTCCACAGCCTCTCTGGAGCCCTGAACTATTCACATTGTGGAGAAAAAACCCCTGTTTTTTCCATGTCCATCTGGAATTCCTCTTGCTGCAGCTTGTGGCTATTATCCCTTATCATTTCATTGTGCACCTCCAGGAAGTGTTTTACTACACCCTCTCCATAACCACTGACTATATAGCTGGAGACAGCAGTTGGAGGCCTTCTTAGCTTTCTTTGCTCCAGAATGAACAAACCAAGCTCCCACACCCTTCTCTCATGTGTCCTGTGACCCCACTCCCAACCATCTCAGTGCCCTTCATTGGACTCAAAGACTCCTGGCACTAGGGAGCCCAAAACTAGGAATCCCAGATGCAGCCTCACATATGCTGACAGAGCAGAAAGAACAAGCACTTCTTTAACCTGACAGCTACATTCTTGCTAATGCAGCACTTTTTAATCACACAGGAATATGTCATGCTCTCTATTTGTGCACACAACTTATAAAAGCTGCATTAGCTGCCTTTAAACTATGAGTTGATAAAAATAAGCAGCATTTAGGCTACAGCTAAAATGCTGTAAAAAACATTAAAAAAACACCAGCTCTGCCCTGCACAACTGAGCTTTTTGTGTGTGCACAGCAGGAAGTACAGGTGGGAAGACTCCAGCAGGAACTCATTAGGTCTCCAGTGAAACCAGGACAGAGTTATTGGCCTTTCCAGCACACCCATTTATGCTCTTCAAAGGACTCTGTGTGCATGGTCTGTTACACATTTCCCTTCTCTCCAACAGCTCTGTGAGCTTCAGCGAGACAGCGAGAGCTGATGCAGTTCTTGGCTACCTGATCTCGTTCCTGGTGCTCCTCTCCACAGTGAAACTGTGGCACCTCCTCAGGCTCAACCCTAAACTAAACATGATCACCTCAACACTGAGGAGGGCATGGGGTGACATCTCTGGATTCATCACTGTGATTGCAATCATGTTCCTTGCCTATTCCATTGCTGTGAGTACCCCTGTGCTTTCTGTTGTCTGCAGGCAGCACCCAGGGACTGTCAGGTTAAATGATTTATTTCTGGATGCTGAAAGCAACACGGCTTTCCTATGTAAAATGGAATAAAGCTGTCTGTCCAAATCTTAGGTTAGCAGCTTGTATGTGTGAAAGAGAAGTTAAAATACCCACTTGTCTGTTCTTTGTAAACCAAAATTTAGTAAAAAATAAATGCTGAGATGAAAAAAAAAAGGGTTATCTATGTGTAATAGATATGACAAAGAACAAAGTGCAGGAAAACTAATTTTCTGGATAAAATTATTATGTGGAGAGTGCAGCAAGTGCCATTTTCTATTTGGCTAGTTTATAAGTGGGAAATAATTATTTTTCTGCCTATTGCAGGAATACTTATTATACAAATACAATTATATTTTCATCCTAACGAGGTTAAAGAATTCTTGGACTGCAACTATTTATGTACATTTACTGTTTAACTGAGATGTTTTGTGTAAATCTTCTGGCAGGGCGATTCAGGAAATTCAGCAAATTAATTCCAGAGTCACTAAAAAAGTGGAAACCATCTGAGCCAAATCCAAGTTGTCCCATAAAGGACAGTCCTGTGACAAACAGGACCTGCTGCAGACTCACACTGCCTGATTTCGTGTCCCTCATCCCTCCCTCCAGCACTGACACTCAGGCAACTGAGTAGCTTTAGGCACTGGTGTGGTCACAAACTTACCAGGTAAAATAAGTGATCAGATCAGTTCCATGAGCCAGCCTGCTGTCCCATCATGAGAGTGATGGAGCTGTGAAAGAAAGAAGCAGAGGGATGAGAAAAAGGTGAGCCTGCAGCAGCCTTCATTTAAATCAGACACAGTAGGCCCTCAAGGTATAAATTAACAAATCAGCATCTTGGTTACTGAGGGCAAACAAGGAGCTTGCCTGTTTGGAAGGATCTGTGTTTGTGCCTATGAATTGTTTGGACAGGGATAAATCTGCTCCTTGAAGACGAGCTAAATTACTTTCATGATTTTTGTCATGTATTTGCAGATTTTTTCACATATCTAGTGGCAAACTGAGCTGATATAAGACATTCTCATATCCATGATAAAAGGTCTTAAAACTAAACAAAGTGAATCCAGTTCTAGCTCTAGGTTAGGCTTCTTCTGTTACTTTGTCTGATGTTTCCCCTGCTTGTAAATAAAAGAAAAACCCAAACCACAAAAAGCTTCATGGCTCCAATGACAAGCTGGGAGGGTTTTCTCTGAATACAGAAGTCATCAGCTGACTTTGCAGCAAGGACTCTGATCATGACACAGGATGTGACTTCTGTCCTCTGCAGGCAAACCTGATATTTGGCTGGAAGCTCTACTCTTACAAAACTCTCTTTGATTCAGCAGAGACCATGGTCAGTCTTCAGCTGGGAATCTTCAACTATGAAGAGGTACCACTTTTAATTTTGGGAAGTTTATCACCATATAATTAGCATCTCAGCTACCAAATATGCTCTGACCCAGCAAATAGAAATACTTCCAATTAGTGTTAAACATTAATATAATTTTGCAAGCTCCACGGCTTCCTAAAGCAGTCGCCTTTTCTCATCAAGAAAAAGACACCAAGTGAAATCTCTCTTGCATCCCGTTTTGACCATGAGGAGACTCATAATGAACCTTTCATTGAGAAACCTGCCCACATTTCAACTAGAGAGATGTTACTAATTCATTACAGACAGTTTTGAGCAATTTCCTTAGAAAGCTAAAGATAGAAATGTGAGTGATGCCTTGTGTTTGTTCTGAACAAACCCTCCAGCTTTCCAAGAAAGGCAAGGGGAACTTTGTGTTACATTGGTTTTTATTGTTCTTGACTTTTTCACTAAGTTCTTTCAAATACTGCAATATCCTTTGAACACTCTTTTTTGTGGAGCAAGCTAGCTCTTGGACATCTCTGATTGTGAAGTCCTCCTGGTGGCTGTTTTTAGACCATGGGTCCAATAGGATATGGGTGGCTTTGAAGATCAGTAACTGGGCACAACGTTTTTCACCTCTACATCCCACTCATGTTAATCATGGAAATATATTCCTGTGTTGCAGCTTACATGAAAATTAGGGGTTTGGATTTTTCATAACCCTTGGTTTCTAAGAGTCTAAGAAGGTCTGACTGGGCTTCTCTGTAAAACATACAATAAAATAAAATAAATGCATAAAGAGATTTCATGTGTACTTTGAAAGCTGAGGTGTGAGGGAGCTTCAGTTGTTCCGTGGATAAACAGATCTCCAGGCTTGTCAACTGTCATGTGAAACTTTCATACATTACAATCAAATTCAAATACTTAAAAAAACCCCAAAGATTGTCCATCTTATATATATATATATATATATAATATATATATGATTGCCAATCTTATATATATATATATATATATAATATTCTATCATATTTTTACTATATCATATTAACATGATATCATATCATATCACATGACAGTGGCTAAAGGAGAAAATGTATATATATTTACAATACATATGGTATAAGTGATTAGACACGGGATTTTCAGAAAGACAAACTTTTTGGGTCTTAACTGCTTGTATGTACATATGTATGTCTGTTTGTGGTTACAATCACAATATGATGTCTTACCTTACGAATTATACAGGTCTTGGACTACAATCCAATTTTAGGCTCCTTCTTAATTGGATCCTGCATCATTTTTATGACATTTGTGGTACTGAATCTGTTCATTTCGGTGATTCTGGTTGCTTTTAGTGAGGAGCAGAAGCACTACCAGGTGTGTTCATCTAAACTCTCCTGTTTTTAATATTTATTGTTCAGTGCTTACTCATGATTTATGTATTCAGCCATGGATGAAAACCATGTAAATTCAACCCAACTCTTAAGAAGTCAACATTTGCTGAGAAAGCACACTTCAGATTTTCCAGATTGATGCTGTCTTCTCCTGGCCAGACGACTTGCTGTTCAGATGCAGTACGAGATCTGATTTGTAGCCTTCTCTTCACATACTAAACCCAGCAAAAAGTTGTGCTTAGGCTTGTCCTGAGCTATTTTGAAATCAGTGCCAAAACTGCTGCTGAAGTGCATGAGGACTTTACAGCTCCTTTTAAAACTCTCATTGTGAGTCCCTGACCCATTCAAGCTTTTGATAACATGGTGTGAAATCCAACTTAGTACTCCAGTACTGCCCAGAATTCCTCTAGGTTTTAAATAAAGTCAAAAGAGATGAAAACAAAGGATGTGGTTGGTAGAAGACAAGAGATATTCAGTTTTTCTCATTTGCTTCATCTAGAAACGGTGGGTGGCTCATTGTACATACCACTGGCTGTATAGGAGCTGGCAAGTGAACTCCAGGCTCCTGTAGAAAGATTTCCATGAGCTTTGACAGAGCCAAAATTTCTGTGGTGCCCATGCTCATCTGAGGCTTTTGTCTGGATAAAAATATTGGCAAGTTTTGCTTTGGCAGCCACTCATGCCTTGCTGGGAGTGAAAGCTGGCTTATTTCAACTCAAGCAGAGATTTTGTCTTGCGACTGAATCCACTTCTGGTCTGTGCATCCGAGTAACTTGCTGCTTGTTGTTATTTCAGGCTTCAGAAGAAGAGGAGATTGTTGATCTAATGCTAATGAAACTCTTCAGTTTCTTCGGGATTAAATGCAAGAAGGAAGAGAAGCCAGTCACTGACGGGCAGCTGGAGCAACCTGTCAGCGAGTGAACGACGACCACATTGAAAAGTCACTTTGCTTGTGGGCAAAATATTTACTCGTCCGCTATCAGCTGCAGTGGTTAGGGTTAGGTTAGGTTTTAGGCTTAGGTTATCGCAGCTTCTCACTAGAACGGGCTTACCCAAGGGAATGGCGTGAAGCTGTGTCAGGGGAGGTTTAGGTTGGACATAAGGAAAAGGTTAAAGAGGGTGGTCGGGCACTGAACAGGCTCCCAGGACAGTGGTCGTGGTCCCAAGCCTGAGGGAGTTCAAGGAGCCTTTGGGCAATGCTCTCAGGCACATAGTGGGATTCTTGGGGGTGTCCTGTGCAGGGCCAGGAGCTGGACTTTGATCATCGGTGTGGGTCCCTCACAACTCAGAATGTTCTGGGAGAATGACGCGGTGTCCACCAGCGAGCCGTTCTCAGCGTGTTATTTTGCAGTAACAGCTAAGAAGTAACGCTAAACCTAAGGCGAAACGTCCCACGTGCGCTTGCTGTAGATTCGACACCTGTATTTATTTAATAAACACTGAGCGTCTGTTGCAGTCTGCCTAAAACCTCTCGCTCTCCCTCACGGGAAGATGGCGGCTCCCTCACGCCGGCCCCGGCCCCGCTGCCGGCGCGGCGGGGGCTCGGAGCTGTATCCAGGCGGCTCCTCACGGCCCGCGAGTCCCGTCCCGGTCCCGCCGCCGTGAGGGACCCGCTGAGGGCCGGCAGGGGCCCGTCCCCGCCCCGCCGCCATCACCGCCTCCCGCCGGCACCGCCCCCGCCCGCCCGCGGGCAAAGATGGCGTGGCGAGCGCTGTGGCGGGTCGGGCCGGTGCTGGCGCTGGCGCCGCGCTGCCCGCGCCTCCCACCGCCACCGCGGGTGCCCGCGGCCCGCGGGCTGCGCACCGGGGCGCTGCTGCTGTCCGGTGAGTGCCGGCCGGGGGAGCGGGGGGAGCGCGGCACAGCGCCGGGGGGAGGCTGCGGGCAGGGTGGGCTGCGGGACCTCGCCCGCCGGTGCGGTGTGCGCGGGGCAGCCGGGCGGCAGCCGCCCTATATCCCTCCTTCCCTCTTTCTATCCCTCCTTCTATCCCTGCATCTTTCCCTCCCTCCCGCCCAGCCGTGTGTCCTGGCGGCCCCTCGCAGGGTACCGGGAGAGCCCCGCAATAGCGCTGAGGCCGCGCAGGGCTCGTCCCTGCCCCTTGTCCCGCTCCTGACGCTCTCCCCATTCCCGCTCCCGCCGGGAGCAGGTTCACCTCCCTCAGTTGCCAAGAAACTTTTCGAGGCTCAGTCTCCCCCAGGCAGCAGCTTTGAGGAGCGGGCCGAGCGCGGAGAGCACCAGCTTGACCAACACAGCTCATATTTTCCTGGGATTGTCGCCCCCAAACAGCTCCAAGGAGCACCAGCAGCGCAAGAAAGGGGCAGGAGGGGGTGTCTGGCGGGGACAGAGCCAGGGCCGGGGAGCTCCAGCCAGGTTTTCGGGGCCTTGAGCCTGTTTGGGATGAAGAAGTTTTGCTCTGGCAGCCAGAGCTGCACCAGGGGCAAGGCAGGAGATGGACTCGCACATCAGTGCCTGGGGTGGTTTTGCTCTGTGTACTTAATTCTGAAGGCATCTGCTGCTGTCGAAGCTCTCTTTGAATGGAAGTTGCCCACAGAAGTCTGAAGAACAGAATCTGTGCTACTCTAGCAAACAGAAATGTTGAAAAAGTAGGTGAGGAGGCAAATATGCTATAAAAGTAATGCAGCCAGTAAGAAGAGCTCATCAGTTTTCTTCCAGAGAGTCTTAAACCTACCTGCTTAACTGCCTTCTGCTGCAAGTGAAAGGAATAACGTTTGTTACTCATTATTTGCAAATTCAGTCTGAGCTTTTTCACTATTCTGATTAAGGTACCCATTGTTTTTCTATACATATCACTCGAAGGAATAACAAGCTGTGCTTTTGTTTTAGGCAGAGAGGAAAAAGTTTGTATGCCTCTTTGGGGGAGTGTGAGTTCACTCTTCAGATGTAAATTTATGAAGTATCTAATAGAAGCAGGTTACACTGAATGAAGGGTTGAGTTCAGAACGTGTTAGTTAAGCTGAAACCAAAGTCCTGTTGAAATGAGTGAAGCTGGAGGAAATTCAGCTGCTCTTCTGAAAAAGAATGCAGGGGAGAGATTTGGTATGCTTTGACAATTCATATTCATCTGAGTTGATTGATCACATAAGATCAAAGTTCAAATTTTGAGATTACTTATTAACTGTTTTTAATTTGACCTTTACTTTAGCTACGGTGTTTTTTGTTGCATGCTTAGATTTCCTAATTTCTCACGTTTTTTTTTTATCCTGAAAGAAATGTACTCTTCCAACTGTTCAGAGCATTTTACTGCTGTATTCCACTGATGTGAAAGTGTTCTGGTTTTTTATTGGCCTTGCTTTATAAACAGATGTTGTATAATATTATTATCCAAAATAAAAATGTATTTGTTGGTTTCTGTGTGACATTTGTAACATCACAAGTATTCAGCTTGGGTTTGAGATTGTGTGTCATTCTCCATTCTTATGGTTCATTACTCATTTCCAATAGAATTCCTGTGGGTTTAATGTCTTGACCTAAAATGATTTAAGACATTTGATTTATTCTGTTCATTGGAGTGTGTCAGGAGATGTTTTTGTAGGTATTAATAATGCTATCTGAAATTCTCTGGGGTTTTTGAGTGATAATTCATGGAAAAATACTTCATATTTACACTTTACTCAATTTTTTGGTGTACTCCACTTGCAAAATATGTATTGCTGTATTGAGGGCTATAAAATTTAGGCCCTATTCAAAGACAAACCATTTTATCTGAGACTTGCTACTGTTGAACAAATAAGAGGATGCCTGCAATTGAAACAGCTTAAAATTTGACAGACTTATAGTGGAAAGATTTTAGCAGGTCTACAGTGAGAACTTCTGTTTTTCTTCATGTGCAAGTTTAGAAAATATAAAAGGATTTGTCAAAATGTAATTGGGATTTGCAGAAGTGTGATTTCTCTGGTGGGTGCTGTAAAGAGTCCAGCCCAGAGGAAGAGCCTGAGAGGAGAATTTTGAGCTCAAAAGGAAAGTCCAGCTGCACTACCCTGGCACTAATCACACAGGGAGCTCTGTTTCAGAAGTTATCCAGCTTCTGCAACATCCCTTGCCTGGCTGGATGGGTGCTGCAAGTGAAAATTAAAAATAAATTAGTTAAAATTAAAAATAAGTAAGGAGGTATTTATGGGGAAACTATATGGAAGTGAGAAAACAGACAAGGTAGCTGAAAATGCTGAGTAAAAAAAGTTCCAGGTAAAAATGTTAGCAAGAAAAACGTTTCCTGATTCAGTTACTTCTTTTGAAGTCTCTCCATGTGACTTTATGAAAACAACTGCCTCTAATAAAGGTGTCTTGAATCTTGCAGATGTAAAATGGATGGAGAGTTGTAACATTCCTGTGAAGTGACTTTACAAGGTTTTAAACGGGCTTATTTTAAAATGAGACAGAATAACTAAAGTGTTCTTCTCAGAGTCACTGTATTAACAGAGAGCTAATTCTCTTAAGTAACAGTTGTCAGCATGATTTGACTGATTTTTGTCCTTTATTAATTTGGCTTAATTTTACACAGATCTGTGACAGCTTTGAATGAGATGCTGTAAGACTGACACTGTTTCTTGAGTCATTAACATTGGCCTTCCCAGCTGTAATGAAGTGGTTGTCAGAAAGAAACACTAAATATGTTTGAAAAGCCACTATGCTATAGTAGAAATGTGTAGCTCTGGGTAAAATACACATATATGCTTCAAATTTACACTTTTGTTGGAAGTGGAGCTGCTCCTTTTGCTCCTGCCCTGTCTCAGTCTCCAGATGAATGCACAGGAGCTGGTGACGCTCTCAGGAGGACACCCAGTGAGCCTCTGCCGTGTCACTGAGCAGAACAAGAGGCTTCTGTAAATTGTATGTGCTGTGTAAGGTATTTCCCAAGAAAATTGAACAGAGCTGTAGTAGAAAGCCCCCCAGGTTAAGCCTGCAGATGTGTTACTGTATTTAACCCAGCAACATTTCACTTCTTCCTGAAATGTCAAGTTTGTTTCCTTTCAGCCCGCAAGTTCACAGACAAGCACGAATGGATATCTGTGGATAATGGCATTGGAACAGTAGGAATCACTGATTTTGCCCAGGTATTGATCCCTCCCCCCTCCCCCAGGCCTGCAGTATTTATTTGGGCATATCTGCTCCTGGCCTTGCTCTTTGGACACCTATGGTTTCTTTACTGTTTTAACTGCGTGTGTTACACACCAAGCGCGATTTTTGGGCTTGGATCTGTCACAGTGTTGGTGATATTCGTGCTGCTTAGCATTCTGATAAGTTCTTAATTGCTTCAGGTTGAGCCTGTGGAGAGCTGAACTTGATGAGGAGCTTTATTCCTTCAGTTCTTCTAGGCCTGAGCCGTTCGTGGCTGTGTGAAGGGGAACATCGTGTGCTTTTTTAGGTCAGATTTCCCATGGTGAAATCCCTCTGGCTAAAGAACAGTTGTGAATCGATGTACAACATGGCACATACCTCTCATGCAAGCACAGGAGTTCCTTTGGATTTTTTGTTTTGGTCTGGTGCAGGTAATTGATTTGGAATGGCCACAGGCAAATTCAGGACAGAGATTCGCTGGGTGTGAAACGTGAGAAAAGTGAATGGGACAAGCTGTCAATAGGTGGAATGAATGTTTCTTAGGACAAGCAGCATTTCCTGTGATCTCAGTTCTCTGTGGATAACATTTGAGATCCCTGGTCTTTGGTGAGATAGGGTACCTGTGTCAGGGAAGAGCTGAGCCAATTCTTATGGTGATAAGGGTCCCAATTAAGCCATTGAGGGCAAACGGTGTGTTAACAGCTCTCCAGTTGTCCCTGTCTCTGCGAAGGAATCACTGAACCTTCTTTCAGATTGCACTGGAAGTAAATCCTCTGTGCTTTGTAACAAAAAGATAATTCCCTCAAAACATTGGGAACTTTGTCCTTTGAAACAGTTGTTACTGTGACTGATGCTAAGAAGGTGAGCAGATGTTATTCCTCATTCTGCCAGAAGGAATCTGCATATAAACTGAGCCTGAGGGTTATTAGCACTGTAATAGAGAAGCAGTAATTTGGCATTTGGGCCATGATAAAACAATCCAGTTTTTTCATGTTAAGTGTTTAAAAAGAAAAAGTGAAAACCACGTAATGCTTAAAGATGAGAACTAAATCTAGAAAGTGCTTATACACAGATTCCAGAGTTACTGTATCAGCTCTCTGCTATGTATACTTTCCTTAAGGTATGCTTTTGTTTTTCTTTTAAGGAAGCATTAGGAGACGTTGTTTACTGTAGTCTTCCAGAAATTGGGACAAAATTGAGTAAACACGGTGAGTTTCAGCTCTAGTTGCTAATGAAGTAATTATTCTATTCATCCCACCCTTCCTTTGCAAAGATGAATTTTATGAATTAATATTTATGGTCATTAATACCATTATAAAGCTTCTGGATGCAAAATAAATTCCAGTATTTCTGCAAGAGGCTGCTTTAATTTCAAATTCTGTCAGACAGTGCTTGGTAGCAGAAAATATCTGCTGCTTGAATGGCGAAGAAATTTATTTAAAAATAAAATACTTGAAATATTTCTTTTAATAATTTTATGTATAATCTGTTTTTAAGATATTTATGCTTTGATTTGGACTTGCAAGTATTTATTTGTACTTCTCCAGTTAACACATTTGTGAGTTGCACGATGTGAAACATTTAATTGATGTCAAACCCTAATTTTTCCACAAATATCCAGACTCAGTAATTTTGGTGTATCAGATGTAATCACAGGGTTTTGCTCCTTAGCAATGTACAAATTGTTACGTTCTTCACCATTCAGTTCTGTAATTTTGCATGTTAAAGAAGAGGGAGCATTAACAGGTAGAAAGGAAAAGCCTTTTCCTGTGTCACACAGGGAGCTGCCTCACTAGGATATGAAGGAAGGATTGTCATGAGCTTCAGACACTGCAAAAAAGGAATGTAGATTATGAGGTAAAGTAGGAGGCCTTTCTTCTGCCATCCTTCCTGTGGAGTAGGTTGTATCAGACTGTTTTGGCCAAATCCACTGCATCACATTAAATGGTGACCCTTAGACAAAAAGTCCTTCTGTTTAGGATTTTAATTAACCAACTTGTAGTTTTGCTTTATCTGAAGGAATTCCGTTTCCTTTGAAGTTCTCCTCTTTTCTCCTCCTTCTGGCCTTAGTCTAATTCCAAGCTTTCCCAGAACAAGCTGTTCTCAGATCCCTTGTGCTGATGCCTATCTACTCTTCTGACAGCTCCTTCAGCCTCTGTCTTGTTTGCTTGTGGCTTAGAGCTGCTCTGGGCTGACATTGCTCCAGGCACCCTTTCCTACAAAACAGGAGAAAGGGAAGAGCTGCTGGGTGCTCCCAGCGTGGGGCTCCTCAATACTAATGTGTGTGTTCCAGTGAGTGCAGATCCAACACTTAATAGTGTTTCTGAAGGAAAAGTGGGATTCCTGAAATTGTGGCTGTGTCTATTTTGTAACCAAGTTATGTATAGAAAGGTTTAAATTGTACATAAAAGGCAGGTTTAGGTGTCGTGCAGCAAGGGCTGGATGTTGTTCCTTCTAACCTGATATCCTATCACGTGCTGTGGGGCTTTAGCCAAAGGATTCACCAAATGTAGGGATTTCTGTCCCTTCTGTAGTAGCCAGTGATGGGCACATTCCCCAGAATAATTCAGAGGCATAAACATCAAATTTAATACTCCTGATCATTGTCATAAAGTGGGTGACAGATTATTTGACAGATTTTCTTGCTCAAAATCAAGACATTTCACTGGTTGGATCATCATCAGAACGTCTGACTAAAAGAACTGAAGTGCTCTGTGTTTTCCTCTTAAAAACATTCAATCCTATTCTCTGTTTCAGATGAGTTTGGGGCTTTGGAAAGTGTGAAAGCTGCTAGTGAACTCTACTCTCCTCTCACAGGAGAGGTAACTGAGATTAATGGTGCCCTTGCAGATAATCCAGGGCTTGTCAATAAATCTTGTTATCAAGATGGTAAGATGTCATTTTTATCTTCCAGTAACGAATACCTCTGAGATTATTGCTGTCATAAATGGCTCTGCAATTCCTATTCTTCCAATGTAATGGTGTGGAGACTTAAATGGAATATATTGAATTGGATATAGTTCAAGCCCAGTGAAATGTAACATGAGAGCATTATCACAGCCTTGTCTCTGACAAGCTGTTTTACAAGGGGTTCTTTTCAGACACAGACTGTGGTTGAATTTAAATGTATTTCCCTTGACTGCATTTCTGTTTCTTGGATCTTGTACCAGCTCATGATCCTGAGGGGTCAGGCTCCTCTATTTCTTTCCAGACAGTGTCTCCTTAATGCCACTGTCAGAGCCAGCACTAAATTAGACAATTGGTCTGACTCAAAAGGCCATTTCTTATGACAGGTTGGTTGGTTGTTGATTTTTTTAAAATACTGAAGTGTTGTTTTGCCTGCACAAAAATCCAGTTGATTCTCTGGTGATCCAGGGCTGATGTGCTGCTGGGAGTGCTTTCCTAAGGCAGGAACATGAATGAATTTCCTTGTAGGATATTAGCAACTCTTTCTTTTTAATTTCCTAACCACAGGTTGGCTTATCAAGATGACTGTGGCAAACCCTGCTGAACTTGATGAACTGATGACTGAAGATGCCTATGAGAAATACATAAAATCCATTGAGGACTGAGCTGGAATAATGAAATAAATTCATATAAAATATTTCAGTGTAGTTTGTCATCAAACTGTATTGAGGAAATACAGAATATCCAGACCTGGCAACCTGAAAAATACCACTTATGATCATATACACAAGACCATAAATAATTGCAGTGATAAAGATGTTCCACCTCTGTGTACTTGAGAGGGTTTTTTATTCTGTTGTCTGATTCATGTAGCTTCAGAATGTTCTGGGGAAACAAAATTGGCTAAAATATATACTTCCCTAGATTCATTTGACATCAAATTTAGTAACAACAGCCTTAATATGGTAATTTTGTGGCAGGAACATGACTCTACTTGTAACCTGGGCTACAGCTTTCCCTGAAATACCTTTTTATTGTTCCCAAGATGTGGGAAAGCAGTGTCTCCCTAATGTCCTCGTATTCTTCCTACTTAGAGTTGCAAAGGTGATGCCAAAAAAAAGGAGAAGCCATATCAGCTACCTCTCTGCGTGATTTTTACTTCTTTACAGAATCTATTAATGCTCTGTTTTCACTTCTTGTTTTACTACATAATCACCTGTTATGTAGTTGATTATGCCTGGGAGGCAGCAGGTCTGGCCTTTGTCTTCCCATTTCTGTGCTTTCTTGGTATGCAAAGCTCATGCAATGATAGTTTTTCAAGGTTCTAGGGTGGATTCTTTAGGCTGTGTTTTTGCCCAGTGAACACTATGTAAGACACAAATAATTAAGGAACTGATTCTACATCTTGTGGTGATTTCAGAAGAGCAGAGACTTGTGTAAATTGTGTGATCAGCAATAGTTTGACACATCATCTATCCACGTGTGTCTGTAGCAAGTAGGCAACTGAAACCAAAACTCCCTTTGCAAACCAGTAAACTAAAGCAGCTGATTCCATTAGACTGAATATTTAACAACCCCACAACTGTGCACTCAAAGGTGATGGGACATCTGAGGGTGAGGTTGAGTTGCACACACCTGCACTTCAGGAAAACACGATAATACCGCAGAGTTTTGGTCTAAAACTTCTTTCCACGATTTTAAAATGGTTGTTAGCAGCTAAGCACGGAACTAAGTTGATCTAAGAGGAAGCAGGGGAATGCTTAATTTGTATCAGGCAAAATCCATATTCCTTTGAAAGTTCCTTCTTCTAAAAGGATGTGAATCACAGCCCTTCTAAAAGGCAGAAATGCACTGCTGGTCATACGGAAACTTCTCTAATGTGTAAAAAGAGGGTTTCTTTTATGATCTGAAGGGATGTCAAAGTAATTGGTTTGGTGGGGTTTTTTTGCTTTAAATCCTAGGAGAAGATTTTCCCTACACAAGTCACAGATCAAAGCCCTGCCAAGAGAGAATCAACTGTGTCTTTAGTACAGTTCCATCATCACCACAGGAGTTAAACTGCACAGTGACTAAGGGGCAAGAGGGGTTTTGACTGGTCCATAGGAATTCTGACTTGGCAGTGGTTGATTAAACAAAAGGCTCTTGTAAACCCAGTGTAAATGTTTTAAAAACCCTCAGTACTTATCCATTATTCACACTGCCATGCAATATTTACTGTGGCAACATCCAGGGCCCAGAGAGCTGGGAGCTTGATCCCAGCCTCTTACAGGCTCCCTGCATCAGTTGGGATTTCCACCCCCCCTGTGCACTTTGGAAGGGAAAGTTTGTGTCCAACACAGCAAGTTCAGGCAAATGCAGGTAGGAATGCAGGAAAATATTTCTATTTGATACTGTTTCCTCCACCTTTTTTTTCCCAGCTTTAGGGAGAAACAGGCCCATCATTTATTGCCATGTAATACATGACCCTTGTGAATCTCCCTTTAAAGATTACTCCAGAGCATTTTAATGCATTTTTATACCATTTTTCCTTAAAAAACATTTGTATTCTTTCATTTTGATCAGTAAAATAGTAATTTCTGTAACGCCCTAAGGGACCTGGAGAACAGTAAAAACTGGCAAATCTGGTCTCTTCCTTAAACTTTGCCCATTTAAACTGTATTAGCAGTTTAAGTACATGAACGTGGGTAAATGACAACTGTCTGAAAAGAAAATCTGAAATTCAACCTTTCATGGTGTACAGCTGGAGAATGGATGTTCTTTTGCTTAAAGCTGGGATGTGTGGAGATCACACAGCAAGAGGCAAAGGAACTTGCACCCCCTGCACTAGATATTTTGGAGAAGAGAAAGAAACCCCAGGAATATCGCAAAATCAATAAATAACAGGATGCCACCCGTGGGTGGAATGCTTCAGGTCATGAACGGTGTGACCTGTGCTGATCCAAATAACCGCAATTAAAAATGGAAATCGTCGCCTGAATTCCCCACACGGTGGCACTCAAATCGTTCCAGCCGGGGCGAGGAACGCCCAGCCGGGTCCCCGGGTCACAGTGACACCTCAGCAGTGACACCTCAGCCTCCGGGTCACTCCCTCGCCCGGGGCAACTGCAAGCTCAGGAAAAATATTAAGCGCATCTCGCTTCACTGAAAACCTTTAAAACGCACTTCTCACAGCACTATATGTAACAAAGGAATTAACTTAAGCCTCGTTTTATTCCCCCCCATCATCACGTGGCTGGACTAATGGAAAACAACATCCTTTGGCAAGCTATTCCCGGGGAATGGGACCTCATGGATGTGAGACGGGAGTAAAAGACTCTCGAGCAATATCCATCAGCATGAATTGCCAGCAAGATATGCTGCAGATGGCACAGACAAACGTTGAGAGCAGCTTAGGAGTGTCCTTAACATAATTTTCTCCACTTCGCCCACACTACTTCGACACAGTCTAAGAACAGTCCTTGGCAGAGAACTGAGTCTGTGGTATCTGGATGGGGCAGAGTTTGCCTCACTATATCGATGTTTCTCTCTTCCTGACAAAGCATAATTCAGTCACTTCAGACCTGATCTGTTTTAATGCAGTACAAGCACCCTACATCCTTTGCTATTAGGCTGCTTTATTTGTCATTTGGTTATAGCATTCAATTATTTATGCTGTTGAATGTATTTTGCTTCGAGATGCATTTTAATGGAAGTGCAGCACTTATACCTTTCTCTAACCATGAAGGTCAATCCACAAGGCAGGAGGATGAGTCTGCACTTCTTAGACCCAAGAGTACTTCTGTTGTGCAGCCATCACCCACCTCCCTTCTTCACTGCACGGGTCTGGATCAAGAGAAAACGACAGAAATAAGTGTTCTTGGCAACTCCTGGCTGTTCTGAGAAGCCCTCCCTTGTGCCACAACTGGTAAGGCAAAGCCACTGATAAAACTGGTGATAATATCACCATTGCACATCATTTTTTTCCTGCAATACATCACCCCCATCTACCACTGAAACAGTTCTGCAGCTTTCTGTTAGGCCAAGGGGCATTTCTTGCACCAGCTTGCCCTGGTAAGTGTGTTAAATATAAAAGAGAATTCAGCTGTTCAAAGCTTTGATAGGAATGTTTTGTTGTCAACTTCCTTCACCTTCCATAGGTTTAAAGAGTAACTGAAGGACAACGTGGTGCTTTAATATATTCCTGCTTCTATCTGACCTGCAGTAGTATTTCTGCTGGGGAGTCTTGCAGAGGGACACGCTTTGGAAGCAGCACAGCCAGTCCCTGTTTCTCCTCCCTACCTGCCCCTGGATACATGGAGTGTTCCAAGGAAGAAGAGACATTCATCCAGAGGTCAGGGAGGGGTTGGGACTGCAGCTCTCAGTCATGACAACAGCCCAAGCTCCTGGGATGAGGTTGCAGGAGAACCTGAGCTGATCTCACAGCTCCCTGAAAGACGAGGCCCTTGCTCCCTGTTCCTCCTCTTTGGCCTTGCCCTCTGTTCCTGCTGCCTCTGGTGGTGCCAAGCCCTCACTGGAGAGAGCCCTGGCATTCCACACATCCCCTGAGCCAGTTCAACTCATTGGTCACACCAAAAACTGTTGGTGGACTCCAAGAAACAGCCAGAGAGGGACATTAGGAAATCGAGTTTGTTATCGACAGTAAAACTGCCTGAATACTGCACACATTTTAACACTTGTTATTAATAAGATTATCCACAGTAATGCTGATTAATCATCAGATGAATTACCATAGTCATATTTTGTCCCATTCAGGAGTGAAAAAAATGGAAAATTAATCCAAGACTAAAGAACAATGTAAAACTATTCCTTTTCTTGTTTTTTTTTTTTAGACCACCATGACTTCATTACAATTTCACTCTGAACTGTAATCTCATTACTTCAAGGTCACTCAAGCATAACAGCAGTTTTAAATTCAAAGCATCTGCCTCACCAAACAAAAGGGAAATTACACTCTATTATTCTAACTATTACAGTCTAATATTTATATTATGGCACCTTCAGAAAACAATTCTAGGTTCTGTCATTTATGTGGGCTAAGAGTTCATTTTTACTTGAACGGAAAGATAAGGTAGATGTCAACTCAGAAAACATTCCCTCTGGGGAAGGAAAAAATTAAAAAGGAAAAAAAGAAATCTAGGGCTAATTTTAATTAGTTTGCCCTTCCAAAGGAACACAGGCAAAAAACAATATTAATAATGAGACAGCCGAGCAGATGTTTCTGAAAGAGGATAGAAAAATAAGTTGTACGAATTACATGAGAATAGACACGAAACATTTTTTTTCTCCTCGTGGCCATGTGGCTTTTGCCCACATTATAAAAAAGGCTTTGAAAGTACAGGTTAAAGAAAAGCAGCCACATTACATTTACACCCACTGATAATCCCACCCTGTCTCCTTCAAACATGGTAATATTCCTACAAGAAAAAAATGCAGCTTCCACCGAGAACCCTCCTAAGACAGGTTGGCAGAAAACCTGGCCCAAATATCAGATATTTGCTTCAGATGTGCAGGTACATCCCAACACGTCTTCACACAAGCACAGCAGATGCATTGGAACACAATTGTTTCAGACTGCCAACAAAAAAAGACATCATGGTTTCTCAGCTCTAAAAAAAAAAAAAAAGAGGTTTGTAGTCACCACGTGCTCGTGATTTGTATCATTAATCTTTAATGGCAGCTAGAAGCTACAGGTTTATAA